CTTTACATTTACAGATACACATCTTACTTGAGGGATGGAATTTCAATTTTTTCTTGTTTTTTTTTTTAAGAATTTATTTCTTTATTTGGGGGAAGAGGGGCAGAGGGAGAGGGACAGAGCTTTTTTTTTTTTTTTTAACATATTGTCAATGTAGTACGAGGGATCACATTATCTGTCTTGCCTGGTAAATAATGAGAAAGATGACAACAAATCAATGTTGCATGTGAACTAGCTAAAGGCCAGATACAAATACCAAATTACTAATAAAAATACAGTACAGTTCAACACCCATAAAAGCTTGCCAATCTCTAAGTGTAGCAACAAAGCAAAGCATCAGATTTCTATTGAATCCCTACTGAATTCTTCCTAGCATAAGATAATAATAAAAATACATTATATTTATAGCTAAGGATGAATACATTTTGATACCTTTTTATCAAGCTGAGAGAGGCATATGGATGAGAGAGAACATTTACCATTGTTGCCATAGTATTGAATTAACAATTAAATACTTTTCTATCTGGACAATGCTTTGGTAACTTTTGATATTTAGTTCCGTGTGTGGGGGGGAAATGGCCCAAGAAAGGCTTAGAAAGAAATTTGATAATATTGAAAGTTTAGAAACAGTATTAAACATTGTAATAAAAAGTAAGAGAACATCTTTTCAAGATTGAGATTATTCTGGGCTAGGTATATTTCCAAAATTTATCCCTTTCCCTCCATCCTACTGCCATTGTTTTATCTTACTGCCTTATCATTTTTCATGATATTGGCTATTCTTCTGTAGTATCCCAGATATTATCTACCTGACCCAGCCTCATGTCCTTCAATTCGTCATCTATATCCAAAGGTCAGAATCCCTATATGACATACAAGGCTTCAGAATTGGCCTCAAGACACCTTTTCAGATTATATCCTACTCTATGCCTATTTCAAACCCCATGAACTTCATACAGCAGGTGCTGATTGCTGAAAGATACACACAAGCAACTGCGATGCAATGTGATGAGTACTACAGCAGAGGAGTAAGCCTAAGGAATAAAAAAATTAAGGAAAGGCAAGTCACCTTAACTAGAATAAGATGGAGTTTTGAAGGAAGAGTGGGGAGTACTAAAGGAAAACAAATGGGGCGATTCCTTTTTTCTTATCTTTCATTTTATATATATATTTCTTTTGGCTATGGAAATTTCTCTCCATCTGCACAGCAAATGGTGACATTAGTAACATTTTGTTGTAGTCCTTGGTTAATAATTTATTCTGGCACCTAGGCTGCTTTCGGTTAGGGACCATTGCTTGTCCTTTGTCCTTTCTGTCTCAAGCTCAGAGCTGGCAACCAGCAGCCAGTTAGAACTCTGGGTGCTATTATTTGTGAATAAATGACTCAAGATTCACCTCAAGACTGCCCCAACTTTACCTGGCATACATGTTTATCCTTTCCAGAATACAAATTATTATTTTGTATTCATTGCTCATCTAGGGCTTATCACATAAAAGTGTGTGTGCGCGCATGCGTGCGTCCGTGTTTTCTGGTCTCTACCTACCACTCCTGTGAACTCCCTAGATCAGAGATCGGATCTTCCTGAATAACTGTGTATTTGTTTCTTTCATCCCTGTTGCTTTTTTTCCTGGCACTGGGCTCAGCACTTGCTGTGTACTTGAAAAAAATGTGTGTTGAATAAGTTCTCTATCATGATATGCTAAAAACAGCAGAAAGAAAAACTATGTATCACCATAAGAACTACAGTTGCAGAATTCTTGGTTGTTAAAATAAAAATTATCAAAACCAAAAGGTGACTTCTGAAGTTTTTGTTGTTTGCATTTCAAGAGAACCTTAAACCTGCACGAGTTTCAAAACAAGGCATATAAACAATTCTATAGAAGAACTCAGCTGTAAAATATTCAATGTTAATATCATGAATAGCACATTATAAAATTACTAGGAAGTGTTCAAAAATCTTTTTTTTAAATATGTATTTATTTTTTATTTGAGAGAGAGGGTGCAAGCACGCACATGAGTGGGGTAGGGGGGTGGGGCACGGAGTGGTGGCAGAGCAGAGTTAGAGGGAGGGAGACAATCTCCAAAGAGCCCGCATCGGGCTCTTTGCTCAGCCGGGAGCCTGCTTCTCCCTCTCCCTCTGCCTGCCGCTCCCCCAGCTTATGCCCTCTCTCCCCCTCTCTTTGACAAATAAATAAAATCTTTTTTGTTTTAGAAACAGACTTTTTTTTTAAAGATTTTTTATTTATTTATTTGAGAGAGAGAGAGAATGAGAGAGAGAGAGCATGAGAGGGAAGAGGGTCAGAGAGAGAAGCAGACTCCCTGCCGAGCAGGGAGCCCCATGTGGGACTCGATCCCGGGACTCCAGGATCATGACCTGAGCCGAAGGCAGTCACTTAACCAACTGAGCCACCCAGGCGCCCAAATAAATAAAATCTTTAAAAAAAAATGAAATGCAGATTCCTAAGCCCTGTAATCATCTTTTCTTACAGAATACACATCTCTGGTTTTTCTTCAACAGACTCCATGTGGCACGGGCACATTTACATTATTAATATGTTTTACATAAGATCATGTACAAAATGTAGCATTTTTAAAAAGTCAGAGAAAGGAGGGTGTGCTCGTAATTTTCTATTTCGAATGAGAACTTTTTAAAAAAGTAAAATAATAATGATATGCGTATATATGGGAATTATAATCCCCCAGAAGTAGGTGAAGACCTCTGGAGAAAAAGAAAGATGTAAAGAAGAAAATATAGAGTTATGTATGTGAATATATGTGTATGTGTGTATGAATATATATGCAGATATGCATATCTACCTATCATCTGTGTGTATGATGTATATATATATAGTATATATGTATATGCATTACATAATTAAAAAAATGTAAATGAGGTCTTTAGAAGGAAGCAAATGTTGTGACATAGAAAGTTCCAGTAAAGAATATTAATCTGGAGGGGCACCTGAGTGGCTCATCAGTTCAGTGTCCTGCTCTTGACTGTGGCTCAGGTCATGATCTCAGGGTTGTGAGATCGAGCCCCGCGTCGGGCCCAGCACTGGGCATGAAGCCTGCTTAAGATTCTCCTCTCTCTCTCTCTCCCTCTGCCCCTCCTCTCTCTCTCTCTCTCTCCCTCTCAAAAAAAAATTAACTTGGAGACAACAAAGATAGCACTTGTTTAAAAAGAAAAGGAGATGGAGCCAAAAAAATTATGTGCATGTGCTCTTTACATAAAATAAGACAGAGATAAAACTATTATTCAAATAAACTGAGGTGTCTTAACATCTAAAGATTTCAAAATTTAAAGAAACTTGGAAAAAGAAAAGCTGCCTTTATTATGTATTTTTCAGTTTCATTCAAAAGTGGTGGTGACCCAGAAATTGTGAGGAAGACAGAGCAATTAGAATTATGAAAATACTTTGATAATTTTTTAGACCTATGAATACTGACTCATGGATCACGTTGAGTTGAGTCAGTTGAGTTTCATGTCTCAATAAAATAATGTAGATTTACATCTATAGTGTGATAATGTGCCCACGCACACATAGATGTAAAGTAATAGGGTATCTAGAAAGGTATAAAGAAATATAAAAAGTTCCTCTGAAACTAATAATACCTTATATATTAATTAATTGAATTTAAATAAAAATAAAAGTTATTATTAATATGTTAAATAAAAAATGTATACAAGTGTATCTAGAGTGATTAACTTTGGGAAGTGGAAGAGGGGACAAAAGTTAGAAGGAAACTTATCTGTAATATGTTTCTTTATTTTTATTTTTTTTTAAGATTTTATTTATTTATTTCACAGAGAGAGACACAGCGAGAGAGAGAACACAAACAGGGGGAGTGGGAGAAGGAAAAACAGGCTCCCCATGGAGCAGGGAGCCTGATGTGACACTTGATCCCAGAACCCTGGGATCACGACCTGAGCCAAAGGCAGATGCTTAAACTGACTGAGCCACCCAGGCGCCCCTATGTTGTTTTTTTTAAAAAAGAAAATATATTTAACTTGTGTAATTTACCACTAATTAGAAATACAAAAATAAAATGAACTATGGCCTAAAGTAAAACAACAGAACCCTGTTATATAGTTGCAACAGTCAATATTTTGTGATAAAGCAGATGCAATATACGTTTCTTACAAACAACAGCAGCAGGGAACCCTATAGTCTGTTTATCTGTATTGCAATCCTGTGTGTGTGCATGTGGCCAGACACAGAATAAAATATCTAGGAAGTAAAAAAAAAAAAAAGGAATTATTAAAATAGAAAAAAAAAAGACTGAGTATGTTTCTCTTCATTTGCTATTGTTTTTTTTTAATTAGAAAATAAAAAGTATCAATGTCTTTCTGCTTTAAAGTCAATTAACATGTTAACAGAGGAACACTAACTCGAGATATTTGGGAACGAATAAGGAGACCAGTCACATTTAAACACTCTTGACGGAAATTTTCTAACTTAGAGAGGTTTTGTTACAGAATGTGCATTGGCCTGAACCTGTTTCATCGTTCCGGCCCCTACATTCCCATCACAGCTAATGATGAAAGTCCCCACAATTACACCATGGGATGGAACTCAACAGAGGGTGCTCACCTGCGGCCAGACACCAAGTCATTAGAAAACCATGAGAGATGATGAAGAAGGTTATTTTAATTTCCTTTTCAGCCCCGCTCAGGAGTGGCTCTTTAGTTCACGGAGCGGTGGGTACTCGCTTTCAAACTAACAAGCAATATTATAAATGGAGGCTGCATTATCATGATTGCAAATAATATAAGGCACTTGACAGCCGAGGATTCCAGGTTCTCAATATGTGCTGTGTTGTATTTATCAGCAAAAATACATAGACGGTGCAAACAACAAAAAGGGCGCCGGGGGAGGGCAATGAATGGGCTGGGAAGGGGACAGGTAAAACAGTAAGAGAACACCAGATAAAGACAAAAAAGCACAAAAGAGAGAGAAGAGGAGAGCCCTGGGCATTTCATTGGTATGGAAAAGAGTTTTACCCATTTTCTTGCTGTTCCACTGAATAGTGTTCCAGCTCTGTACCAGGAAGGGGCTGGACTGGGGGAGGAGGTAGAGGAACATTGGCCCAGGTCGATCCATTGTTTTTCTGTGGTTTAGAAGAGTTTTTATTTTTCTTCTTTTTTCCACCTTTCCCACCTGAAAGTAATAATGCATTTATTCAGATACACCAAACATCAGTAGAAACAGAGTACATCAGATGGGAAGATGTATTTATGTTTTCAAAACACCACAATCAGTATATTACATTTGTTAAAAGCTATAAACAATGAGATGGTATAATCAGAAAAACGTTTTTATAAATCGCTCAAAATTATATATATATATTTTCCCAATGCATTAACTACAGTGATGAATAAACCAAAAACATGGCTTCTGCAGCAAAAGCACACTGATTGATTTATTCACGTCTGCTGCCTCTACATTTTCATTGTTAGATGAAATAATGGGCCATAACAAATTCTTTCAAATGTCAGATTTTAGTACGTTTATAATGCTCTTTTGCATAATCTCTCTCAGTGGAAAAGGCAGTGTCTAAGGATACAGACGAAACTTCTCCATTAGAATTTACTCAATTTAATTAATCCAAGAGAGCACAGTTTTCTCTCAAAAGTGACTGATAAAAATCAATCAACTATAATCTGGATACTTGTAAATCTTTCACAATGATAAGTTTTATAGAATTTTAAACTAATGAATGGCAGATTATTTTTGCCTATAGTGAGAGTAGTTCCCAGATGTTTTAAGCATAACATTTCCTAAAATTCCAAAAAGAGCAGGATAATTAATGGAAATGCAGTGATCAGTTTCAGTACTATTGTTAATACCAATGAATTCATGCACAAAACACGAGCAAAAAATAATTTGGCAGATATGAGCCAAATCTGGAATTACTGGTGCTTAATGAAATATAAAAATTAAATTCATCACTTGTACAGTGCCATACTTTTCACTCTTCCAAAATTTAGGTAAATCAAGTTTCTTCCTAAATGGACCACAGGTAATTGCAAGAATGAGCGCTTCTCCAACAGCATAACAAAGGATTTTGTTTCCATGGGACCCAAGCAGCTTCCTTCATTCCCATTATGGCCTGTAGTTGTCTTTCCCAAAAATGGTACAGAACCCTGGGACTTCATCTTTCTGGCACTGCAGGTTGTGAGCATCGAATACTTGCAGCAGGGCCATCCATAGAGATATTACTAGAAGTCTCATCTCCTTTCTTCTGCCAATTACTAATCTGCATCAGCCAACTCAGAAAATTATGTCATTTAGTAGTAACTTATTTGAGTGCCAGAAAGTGATGAAACTGCTCAACTGGACATAGACACTGTTGCCAAGTATGGAATTATGTCTGTCGTCTAGGTCATGTGCACATAAACACACATATTTAAAATAGCTCCCTTACAGACAAAATGCTTCCACCCTTCCTTTCACTTCCCATCTGGCAGTAGGAGAGGTATTAAGAGAAAGAAGAGCAGGTATCTTCTGCTTCAAGGATAAGAGCTTAATCTGGGTTTGAAGACTAGTTTCTCACTTACTTGGTAAGTTACTTGGTAGATATCCCTTCAATTTCCACACAGGTAAAACAGATATAAAGCTCCTATATCTTTGCAGTATTTTGAGGATTAAATGAGATAAAGCATGGAGAGGGCTCAGCTTGTACAGAGATCTCAATAAATGCCAGTCATTATTACTCTTTCCCATTTTCTCTATCTTAGAGCAAACATGGTTCTACCCATTTCTACAGCTTTGTCAAGCGAGACTTCTCCAACCCCAGTGAGTATCCCAGAAATAGTCTGATTCTCGGAATAAAAATAATAAACCTGCTTGAAGAGAAGTCTATAACTTTTACGTTTAAGATAGATGAGCCTTAATCCTTTGTTTCCTGATCATTCATCAAAATCACAAACCAGGATCATATCTTTCGTGCAGTTTCAGAACTGTATTTCAATAATTAAAAGAGGAATGGGCTGGGCTGTGTGTCCTTACTGGCTTTTCCTCTAGTTGTGCATCCTTTACTCCTTGTATAATTATAAGTGTACAATGTTTTCTTCACTCTTCACTTTAGAAATGTTATATGATCACCACCAGAACTGAATGATACAAATAGGGAAGTTCTTACATCTCCATAAAGCAAATTCTGTAATATTAAACTCAGTTGGACTAAACTAAAAGGGAATAATCACTTCAATCTCCCCTCCCAAAGAATGCTTTCCATCTCCAATTTAAGTAATATTGTATTCAAATGTAGATGAAGTAGTTAACAGATGAGAAAACAGAGGTTCTTTCTAAATGTTATGTGGTCCATATTCACACAGTAAGAGGAAAAAAAATTAATGCAGCAGCTTTACTAGAAATGACTATTTCTGGAGCTCTGAACCCAACTGTTGAAGTTCTTGTTGAAGGTCAAAAAAGGCATTATCAACTCTTCAAATATCAGATTTAAAAATGAATTGGGGAAACAAAGCTGATTCATGGATGGAATTTGTAAGTTTTTCCTCCAATGCCCACTTTCCCCTCTTTGGGAAATTTCTGCTCTGTCATTGTGGGGTGTCCTGGTAGGACTATGAATCGATATGCTTTGTCCACTCTTAGCACTGACCTAAGAGGTGGGTTCTGAGCATGGTGGTGGGCATACAACAGAAGTTAACAAAATAAAATGTTTATCTAAGATCTATACCTTGAGCTAAGTGAGCCAGTCTGTTGTTGTTACTTGCAACCAAAGATCCCCAAGCATTTTAAGGGAAGAACTGCCTGCATTATGCTTTAAGGGAACATATTTTGAAGACTGGCAAACATATCTGACCCATTTCTCTTCAACTCAAAATGTAAATATTTAAATTGACACTTATTTATGCTGAACAACTTCTATGTATAGAAAATTATAAAAATATCATTTTCAAGTCAGTTAAACACATACTGCATTTCAAAAAAATACTGGTGTGTAAAAATATTTCATTATCACTACTGATATCATGCTACATATATATATATATATAATTATGATTGCATATAGTTTTTGAGAGATCTGAGGTTTTTTTTTTTTTAGTGGTTGCATTTTCAACACACTGCTCAGAACTTATGCATGGAATAAATTATAAAAGCCTTTCAAAGAGGATGATAAATTCACTGAAATAATTCAGAAATGTCCAACTTTCTTTATTATTGTGATTACTTTGAATTGACTTCATTATTGTGCACAAATTAAGAAGATTTTATAATATATGATTAGATATCCATTGGGCAGTTCAATCTTAAGTTTAAGCCTTAGAAAAAAAATCTATGATTATAAAAATGAAGCAAATTTCTGATTTTAAACTCAATTGGACTAAACTAAAAGGGAATAATCACTTCACTCTCACTTCCTAAAGAATGCTTTCTATTACCAATTTAAGTAATTTTGTATTCAAATGTAGATGAAGTAGTTAATATAATTCATAGATATATATAAATGTCAGTCAGGAGATTAATGGATTAAAAAAAGCAGTAAGCACTATTGTGAATCATGTTCTGCTTACAATTACTCAAAAGGTAACTTTTTAAAAAGTGTCAATCAACATATACAGAATACTTAATGAAGGATTCACAAAAGGTCTTATGTAATTCATGGCTTAAAATATATAGATTTTTAAAATATGTATATTGCTTGGGACTTTACATATCTTGAATGGAATAGGCCTAGGATACATTACTTTTTAATCATTCAGTACAACTGTGGGACTCATTATAAATAAATGACAGTATAAATAACATATAAGGTTATTCAAAATATCCCCCTATATTATTAAGCCAGTTTAAATTCATAACAGATGTTTAAAATTTTCTGGATTCTATAATGTATCTAATTCTACCAATAGGTAAGAAGAGCAAATGGCTCATTTTGGAGGGAAGAGAGAGCATTAACATTTCAGACTGAAAGGGTTCTATCTCCTGAGGAAAAGTCATTTAATAAATGTTACCCTAATGATGTAGAAGAGTTAACTCTTTATGGCCTAGAAGCCTGTGACATATCACAATACACTATAATACTTTACCAGGAACTTGTAGATCATAAAAACAAATGGCATATCATTAATATGAAAAAATAAGCCAATAAGGTCATGGAATCAATTAGAAATGTGCAGATCAAGTCATCAGTCACACGATGTACATGTTATGGTTGGAAGGTAGAGTGTGTCTACTACGACCTCCTTATTTTAGAGGTGAGGATCCTTGAGCCTGAAGGCTGTCAGTGCTATTCATTATAATAGGCATATATTTCTGTCCAGTAAAAATCTGTCCTGATTATGTGCTATACAAAACCTACATTACAGATGGTAGGTTTGGCTGATATATCTCAAATATATATTAATATCTACAGCATAAAAGAATTATCCATATATAGATTATAATTTTTTTGGAAATTAAGTGTGAAGAATAATGTCTGATATTAGCATTCTTGGTTAGCATGGTAGCAGCACCTTACACTAAATATCATTCAATAGATAATAAATCCTATCGCATAATATTTTGGAAAGATTGTCCAAAAATAGAAAGTCACATCCCTGGAATCCAATTATTATGAAAAATGTCCCAAATAATCTGCATTTTAGCTGAATTCATCATTTGCTGTCCACGTCATAGAGTTGACTTTCCTGTATGATCTTTTCCTTATAAAGTCCTCTTGGCTCTTAGGTAGGGCTCAAGGTGGATAAAACTCATCTGCTCTTTCCTAAATAATATTTAGGAAAATGACACTATTTTTCAGTAAATATGGTGCTGTACACTTAGTACATAAAGATTGACAGGGATTTTTATTCCCCCCTTCCCAAAGCATGATTTCATTAGAATACACTGCTATTGTCATCTGAAAGATAAATGCCTGACAGTGAGTTGTGATTCAGTATTTCTTCACGGTTGTTAGGAACACAGGTCATATGCTGGTGACAAACAAATATTTCTCCTTACTGTGATGAGACCAACCTGAGAGACTGCCACTCCTCTCTGAGCTGTTGTGAGAGCTGGTGGTGCTGAAATCCTGTGACTGGTTGTGTGGCATTCTATTAGACAATCCCTCAGCCAATCGGTAGTCAGGGATGTAAAGTAAGGCTAAGGGTTAAAGGGCAGAGGTCATAGTGGCATCATGTGATTAGTTCACAGCACAAGCCCATGCAGAACATGCAGTTAGCAACTCAGAAGCAGATGTCGTGGAACAGTGGAGGAATGTTCCGTCTCTCCTGCCTAATGGAAGTTGAGATGGATTACTGACCACTCTATTGAAAAAGAGCTAAAAGAATGGAACCGACTGGTGTTGGTGTGTGGTGGCAGTGACGGTGGTGGTGGCGGTGGGAGGGATTGCGCAAGGTACTGAATACATGCCGAGGATATTTTTTTCGCTTAGGTAGCAAACCTGGTAATGAGTCACTAAACTGAACAACAAATACTAATTTCTATCCCATGCACAAATGATATGAAAAGGACTCCTCGGGGTGTAAGACCCTGACTCACCATTGTTACCTTTGTTCTGATCAGGTAGAGAATATCCAAATCCCATCAGGTCTGTTTTTTGCTGAATGGAGCTTTTCCATTGTGGATCAGGCAGATCGACAGCCAATTCGTGAATGCTATTGGAATGCAAGATCTGTGTGGTGGCATATGGGGTGGCCTGTGTTATTTGGCTGGAACTGTTGTAAGTGGTTTTGGTCGTGAAGTCAATGCTGCTATAAATAGCTCCATCTGAGAGCATTGTTGCTGTTTTATCCCCTTGGCCTGGAACTGGCGGCAGCACATCTGTGGTGAACATAGGGAAATGAAACAATTTAATGATGCACAGGAAGCCCCAAACTATCAGGACTGAAGGTGAAAAATAAATGTGTCATGCCGCATGTTTGCATTTCAGCTGAGCTGGGCTTTATGAATCAATGAAGGGGAGATGATGTACAACCATGGTCAAGCTATCAGCCTCGGTGACAGGCAGGCCTACCGCTCGTCCTTCACATCTCACTGCTTTAACGTGTCCCTTCCCCCATTTTCTTCAACCATGAATGAGATGTTTGGGATATTTCACTCCTGAAAAATGCTTTCAGTTGTGCATCCTGCTTTCAGGACCAATGAAATTGTTAGTTCCTTACAGAAGAAATGATAAAAGTCAATCTACAAATGATGGCTTGAAAACATCTTTTTCCACTTTACCCCAAAAGATAGAGGATAGAGCTGCTGAATAGATGCAAAATTTTCCAAAATTAGACTATACAAGCCAACTAGGAGATACATTTTTCTGAAGTTCCAGCTTGCTGTTTCTCTGATTTGATTTCACAGTTCCGGCATGGAGTGGAGCGGATGGTAGGAATTTTTTTTTTTCTTGGGTAACAAAAGATAATTTTCATGAATAAGTCATTTTCACAATACAGCAGGATTTAACTATAGAAAAAGCAATCTGAGTGATCAGTGGGTTTAATTTATGCTACTAACTCTTAGAAGTGGAGAATTATAGTTTCAAGTAATAATACAGCAAGAGTAAAATTAAACCTTAGTAACAACACTGAATATCAATCAGTCCATTTATCTTTTGGTGTACTGAATTATCTTTACATGATGCTTTATAATTCAGAACTGCCACCTCCCTCCCGAGCTCTTATTTTTTTCCTTTTTTAGAAGAAAGATATCAGAATTAAAAAAAAAAAATACTGGTGTGCCTGGGTGGCTTGGTTGGTTAAGCATCCAACTCGTGATTTCAGGTCAGGTTATGATCTTGGGGTCGTGAGATTAAGACCCATGTCTGACTCCACACTCAACGGGGAGTCTGCTTGAGATTCTCTTTCCCTCTCCCTCTGCTTCCCTCCCTACCCCTGCTCACACTTGCTCTCTCTCTCTCTCTAAAATAAACAAATCTTTTAAAACCAGAACAACACTAAACGACATATTTTTAATCATGTAGAGTTAAAAGTGAATCTAATTATAGTATATATTCCTTAACGATCTATGTTCTGAAAGCCACACTTCATAGGACTTGAGATCATCAATGGTTTCTTCATTATAGAAAATTTTCAACTAGTTAAAGCACTGTAATATTAAGTAACAAACCAATTACTTTGCCCCCAAAACCAATTTATCATGACAAGAAAAAAGCAGAAAGTGAAAGTGAAACTTAGTCAAAATAGTCTGACTTTTATGTTTGATGATACCCAATAGTACTTGAGATGAAGATTCTTATAAAAATATTAATTTTGCTTTTTACAAAAGCTAAAAAAAAATGTCTTCTTTAGCAACAGCAATAAGACATTTATAATCCATTTTGCACACTGCATAATTTAGATCTTTCTGAAGTCTGGAATTCCAACTCGCTTTGTAAGTAAGCGGACACATACTTTATTGAAGTAAATATTTTAAATGCATATCAGTAAAATTGTTAAAGATATTCAAATATATTTCACAAGCTCGTACAAGCAAGTACAATTATTTTTTCATTTCAGAATCCCATAACTACTTTTTTGGCCTTTTTAAAAAGCTTTTACCTATAAACTAATTAGGACATTTGATAATGAAAAAGTATACTTCATCCTTAAATGTCAATATCGTTTTCATTCTCAGAAACATTTAATATTTAGTAATATATCAAAATTATGAAAATAGATCCTTCACTCTGGGGAAATTTTCAGAGTTTTGTTTCTGCCACATCCACCATCTTTCACTGATACTATTAACCAGATAGACATGTTTCTCCAGCACGGGTCCCAACTTCCCAACACCTTGAACTTGAGACCTTCTAGAACTTTTGATTTAGATTGGGAGCCACTTTATCTGCAAGCTTTTGAAATGGTTGTGTGTTCAAATGTTTAGAACTGGAAAAAAGTAGTCCGAGGATCTAATCCTCCAGAATGTTATCTGGCCACAGCTAAAGCTACAGTGCTAGAAATAGAATCTCTCTCTCTCTCCCTGCTGGATGAAATTAGCCAGCCTTCAAGTCTAAGTGCTTCTGTATTGACTTGGGGGCTGCATATTTCCTTCAACTATTATTGGATCACTCTTACATTTTTGGAAAATAAATTGAATTATATCCAAATGTTGAAATATTGGAAGATTATACACGAATATCTGGATGTGGGGGATCATCCTATAATATCAGATGGTTTGGAAGTCTGGCCCAGCCTTCCGCCGACAGAGTGGACCTGAATAGGTGCTGCTATCTTTAGGTAGGACCTTCCAGTTTCCACTTCTCACTGCCCACACCTACCTTTCCTTAGTGCTTTGGACTGACTGGAACTTGTTAATATTTGAGTTTGAAACCTCTGAAGTACAGAAACCCTTCCCTCCAGGTGGACCTACTCATGATTCATTTTGCAGGTTTCAGCACCTTAGTGATCCATGCACTTATTTCTTTTTGCCTGATATACTTGAATGAATGATTGTCTCCTGTATCATATCATAAGATACTTAAGAACAGGAACATACATCTGGATTTCCGTAATTCCTCACCTAGTGTTTTGCAGAGGGTAAGCACTTGCTGAATGGTTAAATGAATCTTTTATAGTTTGTATTGACAAAAGGCAGACTTATGCAATAATTAGTAACTTTATTATTCAAAATACTATTTTCATTACATTTAAACACGTGTTAGTATTCCATTCTTGAAAGGGCAATGTCAGTATCCACAATAATTCTTTAAGTGACCATAGTTATGCAATCATACACGTGAATCCCACCTAGAGGATTGCAGAACAGTGTAGATAAAAGAACCAAGGCTTTAAAATGTGTTAGACCTGCCTTCTACACCTAGATCTCAAGTTATTCATCTCGATAAACCTTAGTTTCTTGGCCTTTAAAATGTAAATATGATTGTTATCTATGTCACACATTTATCATGCCAATGAAATGAAACAAAATGTACAAAAAAGCCTACCTATTTCTGGTGCATAGTGAATGCTTATAATGCCTATCACAAAAGAAATACAGTAAATCTTGCAAAAACTTTGTCTTGGCCTTGATGTTCGCCTGTGAAATATTTCATATCATGAAAATGCAGTGGATATAGAAGAAAAACCTTGAAAATCTACAAACGTAAACTTTGGCTAAATTAGAGACATTTTAGATGTTAGTGTAGCCTGCTAGAAACTGAAAAAAACAAAAGCAAAACAAAACACTTTCTCCATCTTTAGACATTCATTTCATAATGTAAAGAGAATGGTGCACTAATCAAATACAAATACAACAAGTAAAAGAGGGATTTAATCCTTGATTAATAAAAGCCTTCAGAACAGAATTTCTTTTGACGAAATCATTCTGGATAGGGTAGAGAGGAGTGTTCTGCTCTCCTGGTGAGGAAATGCTCAGGTATAGAACCTACCCACGAAAAAGAAATAGCCTGTAATTGAAGGGCTCAGAGTTTGGCCACTAGGGAACGCAGCCACTTTCAGAGGTTCTGGACAAATAAGAATCCTAAACGGGGTGATTACAGAGGGCAAGCAAAAAGCTGAGGAGTCATACAATGTATTTTTGTTTTCTCATTTACTATATTGATGCCTGTCGGCCACTACTTGTATGCCAAGCTTTGTGCTAAACCTGAATATGTAATCATCCATTTAATCCTCATTACATACCTATGACAGGGGAATGGTTATTTTCTGTATTTTATTTGGAGATTGGGAGAGAGCTCCCTTCCTTCAACTTGGTATTGACAGAATGCAGACTTAAACAATAATTAGTAGCTTTATTATTTGAAATACTATTTTAATTATATTCAAACATTCATTTGGTATTCTATCCATAAAGAGAAAACGCCAGTATCCATGATTATTCTTCTAAGTCAGTATATTTATACACTCATGCCTGTGAAATCCACCACTGAGGCTTATAATAGGTTAGCCTAGCCCTGGGTCTCCTCCATTATTAATTCCACCCAGAGCTGTAGAAACCCTCTAGCAGATTCATCCACACTTTCATGGATTATAACACTACTCTCCTAATTAATCATCCCATTTTCTACTCAAACTCCATTCCCCACCCGGCAGTAGTCTGGATGACTTAACTCTGTACTTAGATCCCAGTGTGGTCCTCTTACAAATCCATTGAGGCCTTCTGACTACCCTTTGGACAAAGTTTAAAGTCTGCGTGGCTTAGAAGGCCCTCTATTATCTGTCCCTCTGTATTTTTTTTTTTTCACCACTTCTGCTGCCTTGTACTTTATACTCATTAGGAAATTCATTCATTTCTCAAATAGGTCAATGTCTCTCTTCTTTCTAGACCTTAAAATAGGGACATTTTTTTCACACACTTTTCCCACAATTCTGACTAATCTCTAGCTCTCCTTCAAATGTCAACTTAAATAACACTCCATTCATAGAACTTTCTTATTCCCAATAGGCAGCTTTTTCATGTTGGGTACCGGCAAAGCAGCTCCAGTCCATTTACTGCTTGCACAAGTTTCTGCCAATGGAAAACTCACATATTTCTGCCAAATTTAAACACTGGGACCACAGACTTCTCCAGCCCCATCTTTCTCTAAACCCATCATTCCCCTATCGAATGGAAGAAAAGGTGGCAGTGGGGAGGCTGTAATTATTTATAGTAGGTCAAATTCTGTTTCTACAGAGAGAACCCTAGCACCAAATTTTGGAGACCTTATCATATCAGCAACTTAGCATCTTTTTGTCTTTCATTTGGGGTACCAGTTATCAACGGAAGAACTACATTTAAGTTCTCCTTCAACATGTCATATTTATTTAAAAATCTACTCTCTATAACATACATCCTATGAGGATAAGGACCATCTCTCTTTATATTGATATTTTATTTTTACTGTCTGCCATAATGCCAGGTACATAGGACATACTTCATAAATATATGTTGAATGACATGTAGAGAACAGAAAGGACTAGTCCAAAATCATAAGTCCTACTTAACAGCATAGTTTCTGATTTTACTAATCTTGCTCTAATAGTCCTAAACCTAAAATGTATTATGAATATTTGTCATCTTGGCTGGTAATGACTTCCTCAAAACTTAGTCTTACTCAAGGTAATATAGACACAGTGGTCTTATATAAAATACTTAGTGAATATACAGCACTGTTAGGACATGCGCTTTAGTAATTTTAATTGTGGAAGAAAATACTCCATAGTATGCATTTTTTTTTTAAAGATTTTATTTATTTATTTCACAGAGAGAGATAGCGAGAGCAGGAACACAAGCAGGGGGAGTGGGAGAGGGAGAAGCAGGCTTCCTGCCGAGCAGGGAGCCTGATGCGGGACTCGATCCCAGGACGCTGGGATCATGACCTGAGCCGAAGGCAGACGCTTAACGACTGAGCCACCCAGGTGCCCCATAGTATGCATTTTTTAAAACATTGAAGAAAGCCAAGAAAACAGATAATAAAGTTTTGAATAGCACAACTTACCTCCACGTCCAAAGTTCGCAATCTCGTTTGGGCCACTGTTGCTGTTGTTTACTGGTAAGCTCGTGGCCGGCCACGAATCAGCAAGCCACGGATAACTGGGATCCCCAGCATTTAGAAGACCAGGACGGCTGAAACAGAAATGAAAAGGAAATCAACCCATGGAGCTCAATGTGAGGTTTGGACACCTGTCTCCTGCACTAAAATAGATGAAAGAATTTAAGAAGATTTTAATTCACTTCAAATTAAAATGTGTAGGTTCTCAAGAATTAAGGAACTTCCACAGTTCATTAAGACTATATACAGCCTCTCATTGGAAGCAGAAGCATCCTGCCTGGGATTCTGCTGGCATCCAAATGAATTCAGTTGTCTGCCCTGAAACTGGTGGGAATTGGTAACATAGCAGGATCCTGAAACAAGGTTTGGTGATAAATTGACACCTCAAGGGAACAATTGCTCAGAGTGACTGCTCAGTATCAGCCCTTTCCAGGACTTGGGGCTATTGCTTCCTCGATTCCTACAGCCCCCGTATTTATCTGTCCCCTGTAGGCTGTAACCCCTGTTATGAGCCCTTATGCTTGATTTAGAGGCAAAGAACTTGAGGGAAATTAATGAACAATATTTATATTGTTCCATCAATAGCACATTTCCAAATTCTCTAAATTGCAAGATATTAGGGGTATAATAAAGATTTTTAAGGTAATTAAAATTCACTGTGATCTGATCCAGCATGTGAGTATATAATCTATGAGAAAAACTTGCCTCACATAATATTAAATAAAGAATTTTCATTTTTGATATAAAGATGGGAATCCAATTCCTTTCCAGATTATTAGCATATTTACAAAGAAATAGCAACATCTATAATCATTGCACTTTATTTTTGCTAGACCGTTTCTATGAAATCCCTAAGAGAAACATGCGTTTCTATAGAAACTGCAATAAGAAGATCCAACTGCTTACTTGCTACATGCACTAGCTCTCATTAGACCTAATCTCTTTTTGCTAAAATATTGATTAAATGGGAGATTGGAAGTTATTACCAGAGCCTAATTACAATCTCCATATTGGCAAAGGGGAAATAGATGAGGATATATGGGTTTGTTATCAGCTTTTATCAATTTCAATTGAGTAACCAAAGTTGTGGAATCCAGTCCTATCAATCTACAGCCTATTCATCATCCATGAATCATTTACTTTGTGATCGATTATGTGTAATTGTTCACTCACAGCAATTTAGTGAGAGCCAATAAGGAGTCTTAAACAACAGCAACTTCATTTGCTAATGTCTAATTAATGCAATAAACATTCTGCTAACAAATGAACACATTCCTTGTGATATTTACTACTAATTTCTTCAGGGGCATCTGGGAGATATGAAACATCTGGACTTGATTCCTCTAAAGTGTACAACAGATAGATCATTAAACCTTGTGGTAAGCTATTTAATTCCTCCTAGAATTCTCAGACTTGTAAGTGATCATTTATTACAATAATAGCCTCTTACTATAGTTTCCCCAGTCCTGATTAAAAATAATAATAAAAAAGAATCTCCTTAGCATACCTCCCATTGCTCATTAGTCCTCCATCTCCTCTTTGAAATGTAACTGTTAAAAAAAAGAAAGACACACACACACACAAGTAGTCAATATTAATTACGATAAATACCAACTACATATTGGTCCTTAGTTTAGAGCTGAGGCCTCTGGGAATTTTAACAAAATATAATTAACATAATTGTACAGAGAATAAGAAGCAGTGGTTTGGCCCAGGGCAAAGCCATCATTTGCTCCAACTTTAATAAGACATTTAAAAATACCTTAAGCCAAATGTATGGTTAAGTCAAAAGGGCAATTTGTGTTTGGATATTGAAAACTGTTACAATTGGTATATATAGTGTCATTGGAAGATCAACATGCATTAATGGGGGATTATCAAATCATTACTTTTAATCTTAATAGGTGGGTGTCCTAATCAGAAGGCACAACATAAAATGCACATAACAGAAATTGAAACAGAAGAGTTCAAACAGGTAATAACATCCTGCCAGTGAAAAAGAGAAACAGGTACTGATTGATGACATATTCCTCATCATCACAGATTCTTTTAGGGACACCGTTAATCACTATGAGTTGAACCACTACAATTACAATAGACATAAACTATAATTAATAGAGAATAATGTGTTGAGTGCTTTGTTTTATCATCCAACCTTCACAAAAAATGAAATTTTCAAATACCTGATACTTAAACATAGTCAAATTGTATGTAATCATTGCAGAAACTTAAGGCCTTCATAAAACTCTGAACCTTATTAGTCACACCAACAAGCATTCCATAGAGCTCTACCTGGAGAAGCCCTCTCTTTGGACACTAAATTCCATTCCGCAAAGCTATCGACATAAAAACAGTGGGTTTCAAGGATTGGCCAAAGAATGTAAATACAGTGCGGATCCATCATTTCTTATCCAAAATCTTGGTAGCCAAATATATTTGGAATTCAACATGTTTCAGATCTCAGAAAGGTAACACAATGCATACTACAGAGAGGATCTAAGTCAGCAGCTCTATTCAAAGTTATTTAATGTGTTTGCAATAAAATATAAATATTCATGATTGGTAGGATAAAGTCTATAAATAGTTTCACATTAGCATGGATCAAATTTTGCCACTCGAGGTAACTAGAAGATCATGAAAAAATTTTTGGTGTTTAGAAGTTTATGGACTGCAAAACTGCAGTTCTGACTAAAATGAATATAGATCAGAGAAACCAATTCCTGGAGATGAAGGAAAAAACTGCTGGTTACCAGAGGGGAGAAGAGTGGGGGGGAAGGGTAAAATAGGTCATGGGGATTAAAGAGTGCACTCGGTGTGATGAGCCCTGGGCATTGTGTGGAAGTGTTGAACCACTATATTGTACACCTGAAACTAATATTATACTGTATGTTAACTAATTGGAATTTACATAAAAACTTGATACATAAAAGAACTAAACAGAACCTTAAGAAAAAAAAAACATTGCACAGATATGAATCCAACATGTCTTATCTTTGGAAAATACTGATAATATTTACAATGATTTCCTAATGAGTAAAAAATAGAGAAAAAAATAAAAGAACATTTTATGAATTGATTCATATTTTAAATAAATAGAGGATATATTCTTATTTAAAGTATACATATAATACTTTTTAATTTGAATAATCTCTCCATAATTCATCTATTCCTCAAATTTTTGCTATGAAATATGATTGCTCTTTCAATTTTTTAAATTTCCAAATGCAGTTCCCCAGTCCCTTCCCGAAGGTCATTTAATGGTACATTTCTCACGACATCATAATTGGGTGATATGATCATGATTCCCAGGGTCTATCAGGAGGTAGTGCTTTGAGGAACATCTGGCTGGCACCTGAAGTATACTGCCTTCTCAATTTTTCAGGTACCATCTCAAATTCATTATTAAACAATCCTGATATATCCTTCGTATCTGCCCAAGACTGGCTACGAACAGTTCCTAGAGAAGACGAAAGAATACTGATCATTACTCTGCTTCCTGACAAGCTTGCCTAAGTGATGGGAATCAATAATCAGCAGTGGTCCATTCCACATCGGGTCCCATTAATAACTGCTTTTAACAACAACAAAAGAAGAATTAATCTGAAACAATTAATGAAAAAAGTTGAGCACTGGAGCTATTAAATAAAGTCCTGATTAGGGAAAAAAATATGCACACAAAATGTGAAAACAGTACAGTTAATTAGTTTTCCATCTGATGTGACTTTCTAGTTATGTGGTTTTTTAATGGACTATCAAGTGATTGTTTTACTCTACTAAAAGAGAGTTAAGATAATGTTGTGAATATCATTGTGAATATGCAAATAAGCAGGCACTGATGAGCTATACCTCCAAATGTGCTATTCAGAAGATATGTGGAAAGAAGCTAAGTATTTCTCCTAATTTAGATGCTCTTTTGTCCCCACCCGAACTTTCCATTATTGCTAGAGCAGTAAGTGATACTAGAGGAGGACAACTGAAGCAGAGGCACGAAAATTAAGTTGCACTTAACTTTTACATACTAACCAATAGCACATTCTCCATAAAATGTAAATTTTAGGGGCACCTGGGTGGTTCAGTTGGTTAAGCATCTGACTCTTGGTTTTGGCTCAGGTCATGATCTCAGGGTCATGAGATCAAGCCCTGCATCAGGCTACACGCTCAGTGCGGAGTCTGCTTCAGATTCTCTCTCCCACTCCCTCTGTCCCTCCTGCTTGTTCTGTCTCCTCTCTTTCTCTCTCTCTCTCTGGGGATTCATAGTGCCCGGATAGATTAGTTTTAAGTGAAATATGACTCCTGAGATGAGACCAATTAAAAAGCAAAGGAGGCGTGCCTGGAATGCTGGGTCTCCTTTGAAGTTTCTGAGCTGAAAACAACCAGATCCTTATTGCGGCTCAACGCTCTCACCTAGGGAATAAATGTTTAACTTAGATGAAAAACACTCTCATCTTATGGTCACATATTCATCATACCCTTAGCCTACATGCACATCACGAACACCGCTTGCTTCAATCATGCATTGCCCCATATGTCTATGTCTTGGTTATTAAAGCCTAATATTCCTTTCTATTTTTCCGCTCTTACTTGATGTATTGATAAGACCTGCAATTAAAGGGGAGACTGAGTCTGGCTCAGGACCTTTCATCACTAGAGCATCTGGTCCCCTTGCCCTCTCCTTTCTCCTATTTAGGTGTCTGGAGTAATCTTTTCATTTGCCGCCTCAGGGTTTGCTGGCCAAACCCAGCACTGTCCCTAAAATAAGTAAATAAATCTTTTTTTAAAACGTAAAATTTAAACTTAGAAGGCAACACTCAAAATCTTATCAAACAGATAGCATCCAAATGACCATTAAGCACTTGAAAGGATGCTCCACATCACTAATTAGGGAAATAAAATCAAAAGTACAATGGATGCTACCTCGCACCCATTAGGATGGCTACTATGCAAGACACAATAAATAACAAGTGTTGACAAGGATGTGGAGAAATGAGAACGCTGATGCACTATTGGTGGAATATAAAATGGTACAGCCATAGTGGAAAACAGTTAACAGTATGGTGGTTCTTCAAAAATTAAAAATATAAAATTACCATAAGATCCAGCAATTCCACTTCTGGGTATATACCCAAACACATTGAAAGTTAGGTCTCAAAGAATTAAAGTAGCATTATTCACAATAGCTAAAACCTGGAAGCAATCCAAATGTCCATAAATGGATGAATGGATAAGAAAAAATGTTGTATACACATACAATTCAGCTATATGAAAGAAGAGAATTCTGACATATGCTAAACTTGAGGACATCAAGCTAAGTGATGTGTCAGTCACAAAAGGCAAGTACTGTATGATTCCACTAATTCGAAGTAGATGGAGCAGTCAAAATCATAGAGACAGAAAGTAGAATGGTGGTTGCCAGGGGCTGGAGAAGGGGGGAGATGGGCGTTATTGTTTACAGGGTATAAAATTTCAATTTAGAAGATGAAAAGAGTCCTGGAGATGGATGGTGGTGATGATAGCACAACATTATGAATGTATTTAATGACATCAATCTGTACACTTAAAAATAGTCAAGATAGTACATGTTATGTTATGTGTATTTTAACACAACAGAAAACTGGGAAAAAACATCATCAGGATTAATTTACAGATGTGTTAGAGTATGGACACTATGCTAAGGTTCATATTTACCAATTAAGAATTAATAGGACATACCCAGTTCTATTTGTGTTCCAATCATCATTAAAATCTGTTTTCCAATCTTTCTAGACTGCTTTTGACAAAATATTCCATAAAGACACTTATCTTTGTACCTATACATACCAACTACACAAAGGCAAAAATGAATAGTACATTATGTAAATACATGGCCAACTTAAAATGGTCCATAGGCAGAATTTGGTATACATGAAAATTCTCCATTTTGTATGCTTCCACGACAAAAGAAAACCAAAAACCAGACTAATCAAACAAAAAACAACTCTTATCATAATAAGATTGATTCATTGTCTTTGTAAAACAAGGGGAAAAAAAAGATGAATATTCAAGTTTCCCCTTTACCCCACACTCCAAACTTTTAGATCTGTTCCATTTTGAAAAGTAGACCAAAAGTAACTGAGTTGTATTAGACCATGAGATGAAAAGTAGACTAGGGATAAGGACAAGCAATTAGAATGAGTAAAATAGAAGTCATATATGGTGTTTGGATTAGCATTTTCCGTCCCTTCCACCCTTCCTTCCTTCCTTCCTTCCATCCTTCCTTCCTTTCTTTCAGTCTTTTTGTGCAGCGAAAAAATAAATAAATTCCACAGCAAATTGAAAGCTGTTTGAGGTAAATTTCATTTCAAAGAAATGTTGAATTTTTTTAAATTTAAAAGCAAGAGGGATGGAAGGAGAAGTTGTTGGACAATTTTGCTCTTGTCATGATTTTTATAATCTCAGTGTAATAACTTTGTGCTTACCAGAGATAAATTTGAAAAAAGTGTGAATCTTTACCAGGAAGGAGTCCCTGCTAGTATCTAAAGTTAAGAACTTTCAGGGAACAACATATAGAAGTTTTACCTAAAACTAACTGGATAGTGCTAAGGTATCTAAAAAGTTCTACAGATACCATAACCTTAAGTGTTTTAGAATTGCATTAACTACTTTGAATTTCTTGCAATATTTATAAAGGATATGAGGTAAAGAGGTTTTGCAAGTTTATGTCATACAGAAAGTACCTCTACTATTATCTGACAGGATTAATCCTAATCTCATGCTTGTTAGAACTGAAGTGGAAGGGAAATATAGCGATGTGGTAAATTGACATTTTGAGGTAAGGAAGTTTTCAGAGTGCCTATCTCTAGTAGGCCACATTTTCCTACTCCAAATGGAAACTTTAATGTTGCCAGCCAAGCCTCAGTCCCTTTCCTGAAAAACTATTTCTCAAATATGAATGTAGATTAATCCTCTTTTAATAAGCATTAAGTCAGCCCGGATAATCAGAGTATAAAAATTCCATCAAATCTTTTATCTGTCTTTGGATAGTTTTGTCAAATAATTTATATTTCACCAATGGTTTTTAAAGCCTATGCAAGAAGTGGTTAGCACTTCATAATTTGCTCACTCATTAAATTGTTTATATTTACTGAGTTTCATAGAATCTGTTATTCTCAAGGTAATACTCATATACTATCACTCACCCCTTTACAAGTGAAAATATATATACTGTCATTACAAAGTTGACAAATGAAAAATTGTGAATAGAAAAGTGAACAACATAAGTTTGAAAAGAGTTACGTCACCTCTGTGAGGATTAGAAAATGGATATACATGAACATGTATGTTATATATATATATAATAGAGCTACATAGTATCCTCATGAGAGCTCCATAATTTTTACCCAAACTTAGGTTGTTCATTTATCTGTTCACCAACACTGTTATACATATGATCAAACATTTACTCTAGATTCAAAAATCACCTAATATTCTCTGTATTTTCTGCCCAAATCTTTTTATAATTCATTTGATGCTACAACTCAGGTGGTGAATTATTCTAGCAGCCAGGAACCTCACATGTGGTGACAAGTAGACTGTTAGTGCTCAATGGAGAATTAGGTAAATAACGTTTGATGCTCAATTAAAGTATAAAATGATTTCACACAGAATATGAGATATAAGGACTTTGTCACAGCTGCCCTTCTTTGCACCATGTGCAAAGATGTGGCATGTGATTGTGTGCGAAGAATTTAAATAAAGGATAAATAGGAAAATAAATTGAATAAGAAGTTAGTGTGTAACATTGCTATGGGGAAATCTCCACTATCTGCTGTGTAAAGAAGCAAAATAGGTTCAAGCCAAATTCTCCTCTCAGATCTTTTTTAAAAGATTTTATTTATTTACTTGAGAGAGAGCAAGCCAGAGAGAGAGCACAAGCAGGGGAGAGGGGCAGAGGGAGAGATAGAAGCAGACTCCCCGCTGAGAAGGAAGCCCAGTGTGGGGTTCTGTCCTAGGATCCTGAGATCATGACCTGAGCCAAAGGCAGGTGCTTAACCGACTGAGCCACCCAGGCGCCCCCCAGATCATTTAAATATATGTTTGCATTTGATTCTTGATAGTTGTTTTTATAATGTAAGGTGTCATTCCATTAGTGTCTTATGATAAATCCTCTGATATATAAGAAAAATATCAATACTGAGTAGTACACATTTTTTTTCCTCCTTCTAGACGTTTCAAATATAATTTTCCACATGACAGAGAACCAAAGACTAGCTATAATAAAGTAAGTTTTTGCCTGCACAGGATGAGTGGAAGGCATCTTGCTGAGAGTTAGAATCTCTAACCTGAAAGATATTTACATATCTTCCCACTAGTTAAAATCTTCCCTATTCTACCTCTAGTGGTTAAGAAGAGACTTGGAATGAAGTAGGAAAAAGGGAGAGCTGATATCAAATTTTACCTGCATTACAATTCTACTTAGAGTCAGTCAAGCTTTATTAAAATGCATGTATATATGTAAATTCCATCAGATATATATCTATATCTTAATGTATGTAAATTGCATCAGCTGTTTAAGTATAATCTAAGATCAGAATTGGAGTTTGAAATAAATGAAGTATCTTATGTTAATAAATTAAATACTTACCTCAAAGTAGATTTTTTTGTTTATTTAGGAAAAAAAGTACCAATGCTTTCATGAATTAATAGTTGGGACACCACATAGACATTATCATGCAGTGAAAAAGTGAAAATATTAGTCTTTTTACTTTGTGAGTAAAATCACGTCTCCATGCTTATAAAATTTATAAAATTCCCACAGAATTTTTTATGAAAGCCAAAATATATATAAATAGAGTATATTCTCTATAATTTTTATAACACAGTTCAAAGAAAGAAAAAAATAGCCCTGTATGAAATCTTTGTGCTCTTAAATGGATCATTAGCTCATGCATGAAATATCAGAAATTTAAACCTATGATATATACTCCACTAATCATTCCTATTTAAAAATCCCCCCCTTTTAAAGTTGTATAAGCACAAGAACATGAAAATTTTAACAGGCGGAGGATAGGATATACATGTAGGGAGATGTGTAAAAAATTTCACCAAGGCAGATATGCAATGCTAGGTACCTATGGTTTGGATTTTCATTTGCTTCTCACCTAGGAGACAACAGCAGTTGCTAGAAGGCAAATTACTAGTTGAAGGTGAATCCATTCTGAGAGCCAGCCATCTATCAATTAAGTATAAAGGTTTTAAAAGGCTGCTCTCTGGCTTGGCCTTATTCCAAAATATTTGAAGGGCATAGCACCTTCTGAGTTAGCAGTTCCTCTACAAGCAGATGGGTATCAATCATGATGAGAAATGATAATAGGAAATGTACTATTCTTGTTAAGCTCAAAGACCAACAGATATTTTCAAATTAAATGCATAGGCTTTGCAAAGAACTGCCATTTAAAAAAAAAAAGGAAAAGAAAAAGAAAAAAGAAATCTATCTGACATAATTTTACGAAAAGCATAAACCTACTAGTTATGAGAACTATGCTATTTATAGGAGTGAGAGAATGAATGTGGAGGATAAAAATGCAACACCTCAAATATGGATATCTTAGAATTTTGCATTGAAACTAGAGCAGTCAATCTTATATTATTTTCACTAAAATCAAGCAAAGGGATGAACACAAACTAGCCCATGAATTAAGTCAGTTCTTCCCTATGACTTACATGATTCATATGTATGTCATAGAGATGAACTGTAACATGGCGACTGATTAAACAGATGGGTTGATGACAATGTCTACAAGGAATGAAGGTAGAGGACTGGACTGCAGAACAAGAAGGTACATTAAAGTATGAATGTTCAAGACACTGACACTAGTTATTGCCTAGCATCCCTTAGTGGAAAGAATCCTTCAGTGATCTGGTGATACAGTAGTCAGATGACAAAGCACAAGGAGGAAGCCATCAGCAACCAATGAGACATGAGAAAGGCAGAATGATTGCAAGTCACAAAGCATGGAATCTCCTTCTCAATGGATACACTGTCCTGCTTTCTCCAGTCATGAATATTTACTCTAATAGTAAATAATAACCTTCATTTTCATAAGATATGAACATGAGCCACAATGCTATAATAGAAAGATCACATTTAAATGCTGTCAGATAACAAGCAAGATAACCAAATGGGTGCTATGCCTTTTATTTTACACTATTTAGACATTATCAGCGACTAAGAAGCCTACAAGCCAGAGCAGCTTATAAGCTTAATAAACTATGAAGCTTCTGTCAAAATCAGTTATTAAGACATTTATAAACATTTAAACTTAAAAGTTAAAACTAGAAATAGAAGATTGAATAAAATGCATCAAAAAATTCTGAAGTGTTTGTAGGATGATGTTAAATTAAAATTGTTCCCTTGTACATTTTAGAAAGTGTGAAATATTGTGAGACAACATATTTTTATGATTGTTGTTGTTAGAGGAAACACTTAAAATGAATTGCAATTAAAATTGGTATTGAACATAGCTTCAATACTGAGTTCATTCTTCAAATCACCGACTTGATAATTCCACTCCTCTCTGCCTTGGAAATGTTTTGAAGGCCACAATTTTTGACATCCTTGAAATTTTGTTTCAGATTCTTAAGAAGAAAACATTTTTGCAAATAGCTAGAACATCTAGGATCTCCTTTTTTCTTCTTCTGCTTCTTTTTCTTCTCCTTTTTCTCCTTTCTAAAATGCTGATTGGTCACCTTGAAATAGATAGACTAGGCTAGTAAATCAATTCATGCTTCATCAGTCTTATTAATTCTGATGAGATTTTTTCCCTTGTTTTTATTTGCCATCTGGGACATTTCCTATTGTAATCTGCATCTTGAAATACTAGAAGCTGTATTTCAAATATTTTCTTCCTGAGCATGTTAGTAATGATCTTGCCTAAATCCACTTCTCAGATAATGGCTTCATGGCATTCAGTCTATGTGTGTGTGTGTGTGTGTGTGCGTGTGTGTGTGTGTGTGTTTTGAAGAACTAATTGAGAAAAAATGGTTACACATTTATCCATGTGCACTCTTGTTAGGCTTCACTGGAGAAACAAGCAAAAACTTGCCTTATGGTCATAATGTGATATGGTGAGAAGAAATACATGAAAGCATATTTATAATTGCATTTTACAGAGCAGGTGTTTACAACAAGCCAAAACATCCATTCATTTGTTCATTCATTCATTCACTCATTATTCAGTCCCATTCCCTCTCTTTCATCCATCTCGTGCCTAAAGACAGGAGATTTTCTTAGCTAGAAATAGTCTCTTACCAGCATAGTTACTGAGTCCCTTTCTCTTCTTTCTTCGCCAATACAACCAGATGCTAAAACCCATCAAAATTACCCAGCAGGCACCACCAATGCCAGCTATAAAGGCTGGTTGCTTCACAACATCAGTGATTTGCTCAGTTATACTGTTATTGTTTTCAGTAATGACAACTTCATTACGTCCCCCTGTGGAAAAATAATAGTTTTAGTAAACATTATTATGAAAGTAAACAGAGGAATTCATACATAGTGTACCAAACTAGAAAATTCCTATGAAGGCAGGTAATATCTGTGCTCTGATCCCATCAAAATTATTGATAAGCATATTTTATAAATTTCAGAAGAAGCATATTTTATAAGTTCTGATATTTTATGAGTCTAAACTGTGATTAAGAACATGTCTTCTGGGGCGCCTGGGTGGCTCAGCCATTAAGTGTCTGCCTTTGGCTCAGGTCATGGTCCCGGGGTCCTGGGATCGAGCCCTGCATCGGCCTCCCTGCTCCGCGGGAAGCCTGCTTCTCCCTCTCCCACTCCCCCTGCTTGTGTTCCCTCTCTCACTGTCTCTCTCTCTGTCAAATAAATAAATAAAATCTTTTAAAAAAAAAAAAGAACATGTCTTCTTTATGTTTTGGTTTATTATGAATAGATTCAGAACTGCTTCTTGATTTATTGCCTTATAAATAAGTACTAAAATAAGTGCTAGGGTGCAAAATAACATCAACTTCTCTTTAGTTAGGTGAAGTATGTTTTAATATAGTCTTGTTAAAATAAAAAAAAACAATTACAACATTCGCAAAATTTGCAAATTTTATTTCCTCTATAGCGCTGCCTAAATTCAAATGTTCATGGTTTAAAAATGTGTAATTTAATATTGTCCTTAAGAGACTAACAAGGAGCTTATTTTGATCAAACACGCTTTAATTTTTTGGAATGTATTAAAACTACTATATAAAACAATGACAATTATGTACTTCATAGAGATTAGTATCTATAATTAAAATATATATATGTCACAAAAAGGTAAAACTCATATATTCCCTTAAAACTGAACTAATTTGAAAATCTGCTTGAAAGTTGAATTAAAAAGACAACTTTAATACTAAGGTCTATGTTACTAAAATAAACGTTTAAATCTGGACTAATATTACTCTAGAAATAATCATGGTTTTGGTAGTTTAGACCTTTCAGAGATAATTAAGAAAATCTTAGTCCACATTTCAAAATAGGTTAAAACTTATGGAATCATAGTATCACTGAAAAGCAAAGATTTAGGTGTCTATTTAAAAGATTAAGATATTTACGCACTGGGAGTTAAGTGATTTGTAATGTCAATATCATATCCTATTAATTACTAAACAAAAACTTTAAAAATAAATTGAAATCAAAATATAAGTGGCAAATTTCAGCATATCAAATCACATGTATGATGTCCATTGTTTTAGTTATCATGGCATTACAACATATTAGAAAGAACATGGTCCTTGAAATTTCCTGTTTGGATATCATCTCTGCCACTTACCAACTTAAATAAGCAATAACCTTATGTAGGGCACTTAATCTTTTCAAGTACCTGTTTCTGTTAGTTGGCAACAATACTATTTCAAATATTTGGGAGTATTATTTAAGATGATGTACATAAAGAGGCTGATAAGAACACAGTAGTTTATGACACAAAATTATGACCCAGGTATGGGTAAGAGCCACCCAGGGAACTTCAGGGATTTAAGTTGTAAACTGTCTAGATGTGAGAGTCTCGAAAACCACAGATGATTTGTTTGACAGTTTCTCCTTTCTTCCAGGTCAAAGAATTAGCCAACATATCCCAGACTCACTTGTAGTTGAAGTGCAGCAAAGTGACTGAGTTATTGGATAATACTGCATAGGCATGTTATGCATACTACCTCTAGACCTGACCCATATACTCCCGTGACAATACTTGACATTCTTCTCTTTCCTAATGTTAAATAGAATGAAGTGATCTTTGGAGGATTCTGACCCTGTAAGAGATGGCAGAGCTACTGATTGGAAGGATCGAAGTTCCCTACATAACTCTGTGGAGTAGAAACTCCAACCTCCATTCTGCTAATCCATATTAGACTGGGCTATGAATAAGAAAAAAAACCCACAAAATTTTATTTTGTTAAGCCAATCAGTATATAGGCTTGTTTGTTATAGCTGTTAGCATTTTTCTTATACATACTTATATTCCATTTCTGAAATGTCTGTTGTGTTAAATTCCAGTTGTAAAGCCCAGATTCACTTATGTAAGAATCTTGCTTAATTTTCCCAATCTATCTGTCCTTAGTTATTATACACGTAAACTTAAATAAAAATATATTTAAAATGAACTCATATTTTCAATATGAGACATACACATAGCTGATTTTTATAGCTATTAAGAATTACTGAAAAGAAAACAAACACATTATAGAACAAGGAGAAAATTTGTCCTTCATTTGTGTAAAAGGTTCATAAAATATGATATTTTATATAGTTTAATATTTATGTTACCAAGGGTGTATTACTGTTTCTTATGCTGCTGGTATATTTGAAACAATGTTGTCAGTTGGGCTAATTAGAGCATAGACAAGGGATGTGTGTGACCTGTAATGCTCCATTGTTCTTGCAGACAAAAAATATAATGAAATGTAATGTCTTCCTCCCATTGGAGAGTAATGAAGAACAAAACTAATTTGTTGGACTAAAAATTAATTAGACACATCAGATTCAATTGTACCTATTACTGTGAAAGTTTGCAGCTGTTCCACATATTATTACCAACTATATAAGGTAAGCACTAAATGGCCAAATGATTAAAGAAACAATAGCTATATTATTAAGCAAGATTACTGAAAATTATAAATCAAAGTAAATTTGTTATACGGCATACTCTTTGATGCTTATTTATGTAAATGTATGTGGTTGCATTTCTCTGTGTGTAAGTGCAGTGACATAGAAGAACTATGGACACTTTGATGTAAAGTCATCTTACCAGTGGAAAATACAGACAAAAGAACAATAATGCTTTTAAACCTGTGTATGGCTATTTATTATATTTATATAATATTTTAATTAATATTCCTTTACTGGAACTTTCTGGAATGAAAATGAAACTGAAAAGGAATAAATGAAACAGTACCTAGTCTGGCATAAGACAAATCTAAAATTATCAGCCATAAATTACATCAAATGCCAATACATGATTTAATTAAAGCAAAGGGGAAATGAGGTAGAGCTTGAGTCAGTTCAAGTGCTGTTTCTAGTACTGAGCAGACAATAGAGAAAGCACAAATTGAAACAGAAAAAGGAGATTAGCCATCACTAAATCACTTTTCAGCTAAGGAATAACAGTTGTGTGGATAAGGTTCTCAGACAAGATGTTAAGGTAGATGTGCAGTAGTAATTAAAGAAACAATCAAAGGCTTCTTTAGTACAAGAGTAGATATTAAAAAGAAATAAATCTCTTGAGTATAAATAGCCTTTTCTGTGTTGAATTGTGCTTGTGTGTGTGTATGCATGTGTGTGAGCATGCATTTATTCCAAGTGGTACAATTCTATTTGATCACATCTTGAACATTGCACATTCTAACTACACAAATCAGAGATAGAAATATCATTTATCAGATTATTTTTTTTTATTTCATAGAAAATTTGGAAACAGTTGTATGATATACTAAAAAAATAAAAGGTACTAATTATACAGTTGAAGACACTTAGTCTTTATAAAATAATAGAAACTTAAGCAAAACTTTCTATTTGATACAGATACTCTAAGTTAGTTTTCCTTTTTTAAAATTATTATACAGTTGTTAAGTTCTTAATTGACATGACATGAGCTTGGTTAAATGGTATTCTTGTAATGTTTTACTTGCCTCCAAGTACAATAAATGTCCCAAATATTGTGAACAATACACATAGTCACTACAAAAAAAGAAGAAGAAAACTTTTCCTTACTTGAGAATTATACTTCTTAATAAAAATAATAGAAAATACAGAAAAGAAAAATATAGATACTTGACAATCTGGGTTAGAAATATTCCATTTCATATATGTTATAGACAGTAAAAAAAGTATAAAAACCCACAAAGCTTTGTTTACTTATCTAGGAGTTCTCACAGAAAACAATGCCCTTTAAATATGTTTCATAAACATTTTTAAGGGAAAAATTAATGGTTTACTTCTAAACAGCATAATGTGTGTGTGTGTGTGTGTGTGTGTGTGTATCAGTTAAATCCTTTTGGGTGTACCTGTATTTCTCTCTTATTACAATTTATTTTAGAAAATCTCAGAAGGGCAAGATTGTAGGTTCCCCTCAGGTTAAGAAATTAATTCCGTCTGTTTGACTAATTAAGAAAGGGAAGGCAATTGAAAGAAAATTTAATACTATAACTTTTTCTCTTTAATGCTTTTAATATATAAAAGAACAAAAACTTGGAGAATATAAAAAAATCAACAGTATGACTGAATGTTAAATCTCTTCATATACAATAAATATTTTGTAATAAGAAACAACTTCCCAGAAATTAGCAGTGTGCTCTGTGTGCATCATTTCCAAAAACAAACAGAAATTAATGGGACTGGCACATTCTATTGTATCAAACTCTGGGTAAGTATTCTTAAAATATGCAAACTCTAGGAAGAATATTTAAAATATATTAAAGATACTAATAAGCAAATAAAAGCAGGAAGAACTGAAGATATTTGTCCCTTGAAAGAAGGGGAATGCATTAAGGGAAATCTGCACTTACGAGGCTTTCTTTTCCCCTTAAAGATTTCAAACCATACAGTGCTAGGCAGCTAGAACCCAAACTGAAAACCTCAACTGTATTGCTATGAGGTGTCAGAGGATACAGTTCTGAGATGACAGAGTGACTGAAAATTTTCACGTGGAAGCCATGTGAAAGAGCCATGCGAAAGCAATGTTTCCAACTCTTTGTATGAATTCCCCCTCAATCATAAGATGAACTCTTAACTGTGTATGCAGAATGAAGACTCCAAGAATCTGGTGAATATCAAAAGCCAGAAGGCTGAAAATGCTGAACAGACTTTTCAGCTGATGTTCACTGTAGAGAAAATTGTGTTTAAACCTTGAATTTCATCAAGTTGGGAAACCAGATCAACATAGTAGGCTTTTCACTGAAGCCTCTTAAGGGCCATGACTTAAAGTAAAGGTCAAACTGAGATTTTGCTCTGAGAAAAAGGTCAAAACATAAACAGTCCCATATTAACAAAGGTAAAATCCAAGTTCCCGCAAAATCAAGACGATCGACTCCCTTTAGAATAAAACCCAACGTTCTTTAGAAGATCACAAAATTTTATGGTATGCATCTGCAATGTATAGTATACAGTAAAAAACTACTAAGCAAGCAAAAACAAGCAAAATAACAACAGCAAAAAAAGAAAGAAGAAAAAGAAAAGGAAGAGACAACCAAAGGTCAAGAGAAAAAGTAATCAATAGAAATAGACCATGAGATGACACAGATGTTGAAATTAGGAGAAAAGGACTTTAAAGTAGCTATTACAATAAATGAAACATGTAAAAGAAAACAAATGGAAATTCTAGAACAGAAAAGTATATTATATAGAATTAATAATTCAGTGGATACTTCCATTCCTGCCCATAAAGAAATAACAGGTATGGGACATGTAATCCCACCATAAATAAGTTGAAAAGTAGGCAAAATATGTAAAACAAAAGGGCAGGATTGTGAGAAAGGGAAAATAAACAAGGGAGATCTTACTATTTTCATAGCTTTCGATCTGAAGACAATACTAAAGTGTGATGCAATGAAGGAGAACCCAAACGTGGCTAAACAAAATTCCTGAGTTAAAGAGACAGAGGAACTCAGGGAGACTGAGGAAATTGAATTTATAGAACAGAATATCTGACAAAAAATGAGTAACATTTTGAGTAACAAAATTTTTTTCTTAGTTTTTAATTTACTTAAAAGATAAAGATAACTAATGGTTTAAAGCAAAGCAAATAATAATACTACTTTAGTTTGTATATTGGTGTTTACTACATGTATAAGAGTAAAACTATAACAATAGCAAAAATATTGAGAGGAATGAAAATGGAATTATATTTTTTAAGGTCTTGGTAGGCAAATCCTAGAATAACCATTATTAAAAAAAAAAGTTATACCTAAGAATCCAATAGTGGATATAAAATAGAATATAGAACATTACTCAATTCATCCAAAAGAAATTAGGAAAATAGGAACAAATTCAGACAGAAAATAAATAGCAAGATGGTAATTCTAAGTCCAAATGCATCACTAATTACATTGAAGTTATTGGTCTAAACATTCCAATTAAAAGGCAAAGATTGTCATATTGAATTTGAAACAGAATTAACATGCTATATAAATAATAGAAATGTACAATTTCTCTGTAAAAGGATGGAAACAACACAAGCCATGAAAAACTTATAATATAATGTAGCTATACTAATCTGAGACACAGTACATTTCAGGACAAAGAATCTTACTAGGTAATAAAGTGGGGCATTCCATAATGATAAAGGTAAGTTCCTTAATAAGATATAACAATCCTAAGATGTATCTTAAAATAAGTAGCAAAATATAGGAAACAAAAACTTATAGATCAAAAGAATACCAAAATCTTTAATTATAATACATTTCCAGACTCCTTTCTTACTAATTGACTGAATAAACAGGCAGAAAATCAGTAAAGACCTGAATGATACTACCAACTAATCTGACATGACATTTACAGAAGATTCCACTCCAGAACAGAAAAATGTACATACTTTTCAAACGCACAAGGAACATTCTAAGACCAAATGTTGAGCCATAAAATAATTCTCCATATTTAAAAGACTAAATTTATACAATGTACATTTTCTAACCACAGTGGAATTCAATTATAAATCAGAAAGAAAAAGCTGTTGTGAAATCCCAAAATATTTGGAAATGTAATAATACACTGCCAAACAACCTCTACAAAGAAAAAGAAATCCTTAGGTGAAGTGAAAAGTATTTTCAACATTGTGATAAATGGAAACATAACACCTCAAAATGTGTAAGATTGAGCTGAAGATGTGTTTAGTAAGAAATGTATAACTTTAAATTTCTGTATTAGAAAGGTCCAAATCATTGATATAAATTTCTATCTTAAGAAGCAACAAAAAGAAGAAAAAATAGCAGAAATTAATTAGAAAGCAAATAAAACTAGCAAAGCCAAAAGTTTATAATTTGAAAAGATTAAAAACATTGATAAATCCTTATCAAGACTGCTTGAAATTGAAGGGGTGGGGGGGCAAAAAAAGGGGGAGAAGAAAGAGAAAGAGAGAGGGAACACAAATTCTCAGCATAAGAATAAAAGAGATGAGGGGCGCCTGGGTGGTTCTGTTGGTTAAGTGTCTGCCTTCGGCTCAGGTCATGATCTCAGGGTCCTAGGATCAAGCCCCGCATCGGACTCCCTGTTCAGCAGCGGTCTGTTTCTCCCTCTCACTCTGCCCCTCCTCCCTGCTTGTGTTCTCACTCTCAAATAAATAAATAAATAAAATCTTAAAAAAAGAATAAAAGAGATGACATTACTACACATCCTGAAACACTACAATTAAAGGGGATTATAAATAAAGAGATAATGCAAATATGCAAATAAGCATATAACAATAAATTCGACAACTTAGATAGATCAGACAAATTCACTGACGGCAAAACCAAAAATCCATTTAACACAACCAACACAGGAATAATAACAATTCTAAATAAATGCAAATTCATAAATATAAACAGAATTCACAAATAAAACTCTAAGCACAGATATTATAACTGATTCTAGAAAGAATTTAAGTAAGAAATAATAAAAGGCCCCACAAAAACTCTTAGACTATAGCAGAGAATGGGATATTTCCCCACCCCTTTTACAAGGTTAGCCATCTTGATTCTAAAACCTGACAATGACATTAGAAGAAAACTATTGATCAATATCCCTCATGAAAATTGATGCAAAATTCTTTACCAGATGTTAGCAAGTTAGATCCAGTAATATCTGTAGAAAACATAGTATATTTTGGTCAAGTGCGATTTATCCCAGGAATGCAAGGTTTATTCACCTTCGAAATGATTCAATAGATTTTAACATAGTAACACAAATAAGAAGAAAGGAGATAGAATATTGTTTGAATATATCCTGAAAAAATATGTCACAAGTATTAAAATAAATAAATGAGGGGAGTAAGGTCATCAGATGAAAGGGTAATATATAAAAGTAAGTTTATACATAATATAGAAAAGTAGAAAAGGAAATTTTATAAATATAGTTATAAAAATCGAATAGGGAAAAGTTTAATAAAACGTGCTGATACACTTAGGAAAATAAATAAGCCTCAACTCTCAAAACACATGCAATTACTTTAAGATGAATTATAGCCATAAGCATAAGAGCTAAAATTATAAAGCTGCTAGAAGAAAATCCAAGAAAATATCTTCACTATCTACAGATAGGACACAATTTCTTAGAAAGCACTAAACATGAAAAATTTAAAAATTTGCTAATCAAAAGACATTATTAATAAAAGAAATAGGGAATCCATAGACCAGGAGAAAATATTTGCAATAAAAAATATATTGTATCCAGAATGTATCGGTTCTCCTATCCAGTAACAAGAGACAAACAACACAGTTTTAAAAAGGCAAAGACTTGGAAATTGTACGAAAGAAAATATGTGAATGGCCAATAAAACACATGTAATGTTGTTCAACATCATTAGTCATCAAAGAAAACTGAAGTAAAAACAATAGTGAGGTACTCTTTCATACTCATTGGAATGACTAAAATTATGGACTGGCAACATCAAATGTTGACAATGGGGTAGAAAAACTGCAAGTCATATTCTTTGCTAGTGAAAGTATAAAATTATACAACAATATAAAGAAGCGTTTACAGTTTCTTATAAACTATATCAATCCTATACCCCAAAATTCCACATCTAGGTATTTCTCCAAAGGAAATAAAAACATATGTCCTCAAAAAGACTCACACAGGAATGTTCAAATTCCCTCAAGAGAAAAGCAGAGAAACAAAATAAGATATATTCACCCAATTGAATACTGCTCAGAAACAAAACATAAGAATTGCATGATACATACATGGGTAAATCTCAAAAACACTGTTTAGTGAAAGAAGCCAGACACAAAATATTATATTCTCTGTAATTCCATTTACATATATTTCAAGAACAGGCAAACAAAATCAATGCTAATAGGGAACAATTTTCTGTAATGATGATAGTAGATTTAATAGGGATTTCTTCTTCGGGATAATATATTTGGATTACAAAGTTTCTTTTGGCCTTGTTTCTGGTTAAATTTTGACATTTTTTCTCGCTTAGAGGATTTGAAACATAAAGCATTTTCTTCAGTAACTGCCTCATTTCCTATTTTATTTCAATGACATCAAAATTGCTAATGAAATTATTGATTAAAAATCATTTTCAAACCAACTTTCAGCATTTAAACACTTAGTGATTATAATTTAAAGAAGTTTCTGGGAAACTTAAAAGCACAAGAAATTGCTAATTATTTTATAAGAAACCCGAGTCAGTCAACCTATTTGCCTATATGATGAGTGCACCCTATCACTCATTGCTGCATATCCACTGTTAGGATACAGATTAAAAATATCATCTACCTTGTTACCAGTTGGCTAACTCTGAAGCCCAGGCCACAGAGACGTACCCACCAACGATTATACTCACCAATGATTATTGGTTGCGGCTCACTTTTTACTCCAACCCCTGCACTCGTGCTAGCTGCAACCTCTACCCGGTATTGAATACCTGGGAACAATCCAGCAATTATCACAGATCGAATGGCTGCATCCACAGTTTTGTTGATATGGAATCGTGTTTCATTCCCCAGGCACCAGATCTATAGAAATGTAAATGAATAACAAAAGAATATAAAACTATCCTTTCTGTTAAATTGATGACATATTTTTTTTAGTAGTGACCAATCTATTCTCTTGGCTTATAGAAGTATTTGTAAATGACATTTTCTAAAGCCTAATTTTTGCGGTTTATTTATCTATGTGTGTGTGTGTGTGTGTATGTGTACGTTATATTAAAGGAAGACTATTAAGGGAAGCTAAAACTATGCCATGTTCCTTTATATCTTACAATCAACACTGAATGCTTATAATGCAGTGATTTCCCTTAGCACTTCTGGAAAGTGGTCCTTGGTTGCAAACAGTATTTGGGTATGGATTAAAACACATAAATTTCTCTGCTTAATTTATTTATCAAGGTTTATTATGCATATAATCTATAAAAATATGGTGATTATTAGTTGTAATATCCAAGAGATAACGGTGCACATCTAAGTAATTTATATTTTATTTAAGAAAATATTAACTTACCCAGAAGTAGTTAACAAGATTAATTGACCTAAGTTATAAGTATTGACTGAGATGAAATTAAAGCCAATAGTTACACTGACAGAAATGAATCTCAATATTGATCAAAACATATGTACATATACACAGACACATTCATGAGAACAAACTGGTGGAAAGTCTTTAAAGACTGATGTGAAAGAACCCAGGCTTTTGCTGCAAGTAAGAATCACATTTTAAGGCATACTTTGTCCTGAGATATGGAGATTTGTTACTGTCAAATGCATTATAAAAAGAATGATGTGTACCGTGTACACATATTTGTATTCATAGTCTATAGTATTTTATAATCTACATGGAGATAAATAAGTGGGAACACACATGGTTTGTTTCTGAAACAGGTAAATTCCTGAAACATTTTATTTGAAATAATTCCTGTGAACTGTGTATTTCTTTTATTTACACAATGATGTCTATGTTACTAATGTAGGAATATTTAGGCCTAACCAAAATATACACTTTGTTAGCAAAATAAGGCACTCTCATATGAGTGAGAAAGCTTACAACTTATGACAAAAATTACCATGTTATAATCAAAATCGGTGTTTCAGTATATGGAAGTTTAGAAAATTCAGTTCCAAATGATACAAAAGTAAAATCCTAACCTCATTAAAACACACACACACACCAGAATAGATCATTCTTTGCTATTAAAACAATGTGCCCCAATCCTTGTAAAATTTATACATATACATATATAATATTTATATGTAATTATGATACTGTAAAACACTTATATTTCTTACAAATGTTTCTTTATAAAGTGATGGGAATAATTTTAGAGTAAGTGCTTGTACACATGGTTTCAGTAAGTTAATCATTCATTAATTTAAGAAAATTCTATTTTGAATTTTGTTTTTTCTTAGAAATAACATAATTCAATCTGCAATGTTTTCAGTGCAATATTCAGCTTCATTTTACATAACAACTCTAAATTTTCAGGATGAGATGGGGCATTTAGCTTCTATTCTAATCTAGCTAGCATGTTAATTGTTAGAATTCCATATACATTTATTAATAGCAAAATCATGGTTTTGAATTTTTATAAGGTTTAATGAGGTGTTTTACTATCATATGTGGTCGAATCACATCACAGCTAATCAGATTCTTATTTCCCAAAGTTAGACATCTTCTGTCTCTTAAACATCAAACATTGGCAGGAAAACAATGGATCTATAGTTTCTAAACACCAACAAAATTATCATTTGAAAAATGAGATAATAAACTATTTTTTTATAAGTTTTTTCACAATTTGGTTTTATAACGGCTCCCCTTTTTCAAGTGAAATATTTTACAAAGCCTCAATAAGTTGACCAAAGCAGGACTTAAAGTGAGAGTTGGTGCTGCCCACCCTCCTATCCCCACCCCTACTCTCTAAACCTTGGAAGCATCTTTTTATGAGACCACAGTTTAAAAACATCCCTGCTAAGGCCCATTACACAGAAATTTAATAACAATGATACAGGGTGTTTCTGGAATGAAGGCTTCACTACCTACTCTGTACCCAATCTCTCTAAATCTCTGAGGTTCTGGAATCACACTCTACAAAAACCCCAACAAAACAAAACAAAACAAAACAGAACAAAACCACTCCACTGTTAGGGTTCACTTGTCCAAGTGAGTTTTTGTTATCTGTGTCTTGGAGTTAGGTTCCAATCCCCTATGTATTTGTTTCTTTACTTGTCACACAAAGATAGAAAAATTACTCTACACTCAGACTCAAGAGGAGGGCTTCTGGAGATGAGCTTCATGCATGTGACCCTGAGACTTCTCTGGGAAGCTTTTCTGTGAGTCTTGCTTCTTCACCCAGGCCCTACCTTGTATTCTTGGATGATTCCATTCTGATGATCCGGAGGAGGAGGATCCCAGGAAACACTAATACTTGTGCTATTGTGGCTTCCAACTGTTAACACAGTGACAGATTGTGGAGGGGCACTTGGGGCTACAGAGGAAGCAATTAGGATAAACACAAACTGTAAGTCTTGATGTGCATTAATACTGCTTATAGAATATGAATATAAAGACAAGAAGCAAGAGGTCTGGTTTCTAGTAGTTCCAAATTTGCATGTAGTGTTCAACAGTGACAGTTTTTTTAAAATGTCCTTTAAATATAATGGATAGATTTAAAGCAAACACAACAGCTGTACTAATATGTGCTCGATAATAAATTTAACAGCTAACATTCTAATGAGTGCTTTCTGTATGTCTAGCACTGAGCTAAGCGTCATATTTAATGATGACACTAACCTCAAGAAGTAAAAACAACTCTTATCTCAGTTTTACAGAAAAGGAAACAGAAGACAACTGTAAGAGAGTTATCTAAGTCAAACATCAAGGCAGAATTTGAACCCAGGTGTGTCTGGCTCTAGAACTTTGATCCATTTGACTCCAATAGGTAGGCTTTCCTTCTGAAAAAAACACTCCTATCAAAAGTATTCTGAGAGAATGTATTCCAAATTTTCATCAACCATTATCTCTGAGTGGTATCATTACTTATCTTTTTGTTTTGTTTTGTGTTTAATAAATAAAACCAGAAACACAGCAATAAATTTCACCAACACAAGGAAAAAATCTTTCTCTTTTGTATTGGGAAAAATAATTGACTTATACATTGACTCATAATTTAAGATTTAAAACTAATTTTATATTGATTGGGAAGAAAATCTGAAGTTATAAATGAAAATAGTTCATGTTGGGTTGAGTGTGAAATGGATAGATTTTGATTTCCGACAGTTCCCATCCTTTATGGTTTCTCCTATAACTAATTATAATCACACTGAGAAAAGATGAGTGAGAAAAAACTTCTGATTTTAGACTGCAGCATCTGCTCTCCAGTCTCTCTGAGAGCTGAAAAATACTAATTTTACAGGAAAATTTATCAATTCTCCTTAAATCTTTGAGTAAGAAAAACAAAATGAAATAACAGTTGAAACAAAATTCAAAGAATTTTGTAGTACTAAAGGATTTTTATGTAAAAGGATCAATGCTTTCATAATTCTATAGAGTTTAGTCCTTGGAACATACGTACAATTGAATGGTAAAAGATATGTTAAAAGCCTATCAATTAAGTCTCGCATGTTTCATAAATTTGTCACTGAGGTATGCCCACACGTGCACTGAGATATAGGATATATACAGACATGTTAGCACAATATTGCTCTGTATTATTCCTCTGATAATATTGCTACAAAATATGGCACGAAGACATAAATCTAACCACCTGTTCACCAGTTTTGTAGTTACTAAGTAGATTGCATTGAAAAGTAACATTTGAAAACAGGTTTCCCATTTGCCTTGCTGCTGGCTTGGAGAGAATACCATGCCTGCTTCCTGACAGGTCAATTATTCCAGTGTTCAGCTTCTACCAATGTGAAGGAACCCGAACCACTGCTCATCATTCCCACACACAGCCCAGCTGAGCTCCATTTGTTACCTTCAGAAGGCCACATACACTGTAAAGGAACGCATACCGAATGGTGAGAAATGTCTAATCCAGAGGAAAAGTTTAACTGCAATGAAATTCATTTTTGGAAGTGTGCTTCAAATGTAGCATTCTATATTAAATTCACCCACTCCACTCATTAGTACTACACATTTTCAACATAATGTAGAATTTAATGGTGGATGAAGATATTATTATTAATTTTTAGTAATTTTTTTCTTTACATATCCTAAAAGTTGATTAATATCTTTAAAGATATGTACTTCTGTTCATGTCAGTGTATCACAGCATAAACCAGTGTGGACAGAACATTTTCACTGTGATGCTGATCATAAGATATGTGCAACTTAAAAGCTCTTTTGTCAAACACAGACATCTATGGTAGCATAGGTAACCTATACATATTTTCTTAAGATTGTTCTCATATTGATTTATGAAATATGGCTTTTTGCCAGGAGCTGTGTAAATAAAATTAGTCGAAAAGCAGAAAATGGGGGTGGGGGTTTATTACACTTGGCATCTGACTTTTTGTACTTTGATAATACCATTTATTATAAGCCTCTAGTTTAGTGAAGGAGACATAGTACAGGGACTGGTTCAAATCTGCATTAATTTCATGTCCATCACTAGTTGACTTTAAAGTATCTGTGTGCAAGAAAGTTTCCAAATGGGGGAGGGGGAGAAGATGTCACTAGTAAGAATCCTATTGCAAAGGTGCAAGTGGCCTTCTGATTAGAAATTATGAGTCAGACTGGCAGAGCCCACGGGGAAGGAGGCTTATAAAAGAAAATGTTATGCTTTATTACATCAAAAACAGGAAAGTGACAATGAACAGCCTGTATTCTTGAGTTTCCAGTAACCTGTCCTTATTTAATGAAGCCAAATGAACTCAATCCATGTTAAGAAAAAAAATATGGGAAAAAATTGTAATCAAATTCCAGTGTACTGGCAAAATTTGGAACAAATGGTTACTTAAGAAAAAGATCCCATTACTCAAATATCATTTTTTTTAAAGTTCTCAGACTCTATGAGATTCTCAGAATAAAAAGAGAAAATGCCACTTCTTGAATTCACTTTTTATATTCTCTCTTGCTATTATTCCTCTAAGGTAGATGATAAACTAGAACTTCAACAGAAATTGTCTTGGGATGCCTGGGTGGCTCAGTCGGTTAAGCGGCTGTCTGCAGCTTGGATCATGATCCCAGGGTCTCGGGATCGAGTCCCGCATTGGGCTCTTTGCTCAGCGGGGAGCCTGCTTCTCCCTCTGCCTGCCAATTCCCCTGGTTATGCTCACTCTCTCTTCTCTCTCTGATTAAAAAAAATAATAAAATTAAAAAAAGAAAAAGAAGTTGTCTTCATTATGGTTTAAGTTGGCTTTTGTTAGAAATCTGAATACTGACCTTCTTCAGTAGTACGAACTATTTTAGATTCACTGTCCATTCCTTGGAACTCGTTAAAATATGGTCGAACTTTAATTTCATAAGTCACCCCCTTTTTCAGGTTGACTAAGACAGCACTTCGCTCAGTTGGGACTTTGGCATCTAAATTCTGCCATGTTGATGTAGCCTGCAGGCCTGAAGTCTGACGATACATCACTCGGTAGCCTTGAATAAACTGGGGTTGGCGATCAACCTGAGAAACACAGCAAAAAGCTTTTGAAACCAAATGGAAATATTTTAGACATGACAATGAAACCACCCATTCTCATTTCTCTTGTCCCTATTTCAGTCTTCATCATTATTATCTGTGTGATGCCATTGCTTTGTAATTCATCTCCCTGCTTCTAATTTCCAATTCCAATTCTGAGTTCACATGATTTCCAAAATGAAGAGTGGGACAACTCTCTCTCCTGCTTAAAATACTCCATAGTATCTAAGATGCTTACTTAATTCAAATTCCTTGAAATAGCACAAAGGCCTGACAGGCCTAGACCTGCCCATTTGTCTGGCTTCATTTCTCATTATCCTTTTCCTATATTCAACAGTTCCTATTTTTATGGTTGGATATGTAATGTGCTATTGCTCAGGAATTTCCATTCTTATCTTTTGTCCATTCATTAATACCTTCACTCACTCCAATCATTTTCTGAGTTCCTACTAATCAAGTTACTGGTCAAGTTACATTCATAACTAATATCCATAAACACATGTTATGAATGACATGGACAAGGAGCTAAGGAAGACTGGAGGGGAGAGGAAGCTGACAGAATCAGGAAGGGGAGAAAGCATTTCCCTGAAAAAGAACAAGTGCTGAGATCTGCAAGGAAAGTAAGATTATTTATTCCAGAGGAAGAAGTGTAGAAACAGCCCATATAAAATCCATATGCCTGGAGGAAGTGTATGGGAAGATGAGGAGTTGTGAAGTTAGAGCATCTATTTTAAAGTCATTTGAAAAGCTTATACCCACTAGCAAATATTAAATGAAAGACTTACTAATTTATCAGTTTCTGGCTCCCTCAAGAGTCCCACTACTGGCATAATTTCACAACTTTCTTGATCCTTTCATTCACATAAAGGTACAGAAGATAAGCAGCTGTTTTTAATGAAAATCAGATTTTAAATCTGAACACTCATATCAGATAAAAATGTGAAAATGCTCTTTGTTCATTCATAAAAATTACATGAAAAGTGAATATATAAAAAATGCAAGCTAAAAATAAAACATGTCCTTACACATTTATTGAACAGTCTCTATTGGAGTTTTACCATTGTTTCATTTTCAGAGTGAAAAGGATTTTTAACTTTAAAAATTTTTTTAAATGTCTTGCCCTTTTCTAGAATTGCTTGATTTAAACAGTAACTATCACAGAAACTTCAATTAATTTTCCATATATTGTAGCTTAGTAGCCATATTCTAAGAAGCCTTTAACTTGACAAATTTCACTTTCAAATACAGTGTAAAATTTAATGGAGAAGAGATGGAAAAACCTCATTTCAGGAAGGTTGGGGAGAAAAGAAATAGAGGAGATGATGAAAATGGTTATTTCAACTTTTTAAAAATTCCTTATACAACTGTTAACACATTATGAATAAAAGGTATTATCTCATGTATTAACTTCTTTTTTAAGATTGATTTATTTATTTTAGAGAGAGAGAGAGCGAGCACACATACATGACTGGGGGCAGGGCCAGAGGAAGAAGAAGAAAGTAACCCCAAGCAGACTCTGCGGTGAGCACAGAGCCCCACTTGGGGCTTGATCCCACGACCCTGAGATCAAGACCAGAGCTGAAATCAAGAGCCGGATGCTCATCCGACTGAGCCACCCAGGCGCCCCAGTCCCACGTATTAACCTCTAACATTTATTCTTTAGTTGGAGCATTTTAAAATTATTTTTAAGTGGGAGCGGGAAACTTAAAAAACCCAAAACCTCAATCAAAAGACAGTGGAACAAAGGGACATTTTTCTATATTTAGAATGTCCAAGCTAGAGAGTCCATGAAGCTGGTGGGCCTGGCATATGTTTCTATGTATAGCTCATTCCAGCTTTGCAGATGAGTCTTAACAACTAAGAATTCCTTCATCCACCTGACAGCATTCTTACCCTCAAAGATTCTCTGGAATTAGTACTACACTTGTATGAGGTTCTGTCAAGAGAAAGTTCGCCCAGCTCTGATGACAAAGCTCATGATCTTTGAATTCTTATCCATGCTACCGGTTGTATTTGTACCAACAGACGTAGTTTTTCAAAAGCCATTGTTCTGACATTACAAAGCAAGGCAACGCAAAAGCAAAAATTAAATTTATGAGAGCCAAACAGAGATGCCTTTAATCAAAACTGTCAATGTTCAAAAATTCCTTGCAGCATATGTTAAAACAACATTGAGCTGGCATTTTATAAACTTCTCTGCATTCGCTTTAAGTGAATTTATATACTGAAAGAAAGACATAACTCACAATAATAGCTTGTTAATACTGAAAGAAGCAAGCTGTGTTTTTAAGAAGAACATTAAGCAGCTGTTTCCAGATGAAGAGAGTCTGTAAATCAGGGTAAATTGGTTTTATCCATGTTTGGTTTTCATTAATTAAGTGTTTTAGGGACTTTATGAAGCTAATGTTTACCACACAACATTGCCTTGCTCACTTCATTGTACACTGCTTTCAACCAGTATATTCTAATGGCCTACTTAATAACCAAATAGTTTAACTTGATTTTGTGCAGTTGCAGTACATTCTTTCTCAGAAGAAAATTTGTTGTTACAGGTGGAAGCAAAAATGAAAATGCTGAACATTACCTTTAAAAAAAATAGGTGGAACTTTTATTGGATATGTGTTCCACACCACTTACTTGTAGAGCACATTTTGACAGGTGGTCATTTTCAAGTTAAACCATATGCTTGTTACTAGTTTTATTAACATTCTGTTTTTAAGAAGGAGGATTTTGTTTAGTGTTGATTATAATCAGAGTCTGGCCACAAATCCAGGGGTTTGTAGAATTTTAAAAAATTTGTATTTTCTGAAGTATGAATAAAAAAACATTGTCTTAAGGAAAAAAAGTAAATGATGAAGCAAGTTTCCATTGTCCAGTCATAAGGTCCCAACTGAGTTATAGCTCAGCCTTTTAAATTTTCTGAGTCTCAGTTTTCTTAATTCACTCAATAATATTCATATTACAAGGGCCTGGATACAATTAAGTGACTATTATAAGTTAAAGAACTTTGCAAGTTTCAGGGATGCACAATGATAAAGCATCACTGTTAAATAAGGGATAGACTTTTAAAAAGGGGTCCATATGTGACCCGAGGGTAGTGCATTAAAATGTGCACTACTGTTCCATTAAAGCCACATTCTATTAAAATGTGTAAGTGCTTACCACCATCTTTTCTATTTAAAAAAAAAACCCATCTAAACTAAAAACTCTAAGTGAATTTTCTTTGTTGGGCTTAGCCTGCTAAGGACTGATCTGGATGAAGCTGAGTTCTGAAATTCTAGTTTGCCAATGTATGATGTTAAAAGGGCAAAAGATCTGTGATTCTTTTTGTCCTTGAACAAAAACAACCCCCCCACACACTAGAATAACCATTTTTTTATTTTTAATTTTTTAAGAATAACTGCTTTTTTTAAAAATAAGAGATTTATTGCTATTTTCTTTGTGAAACAGTCATTTCTTACCATTTTTGCCTACCCTTGTTATAAGAGCAGTCACTTTTAGAAAGCAGCCCTGGCTAACTATTGTTACTTCAAGATTAGCCTTGGTAAACCACCTCAGCTGGCCCAAGTCTAACTACATAGGTTGGGGAATATATTTCTCTCCTCCAATAACACATCTGTAACTCAAATATTAACAATGTAATACTTTAAAGAACATACACATTTAGCAAGTTGAAAATATGGCATGGAAATAAAACATTTGGTTATAATTTCTTTGGCAACTGACCACACCCCTAGTCCAACTTTATTTCACTAAATTGACCTCTCAAACACATACTTAATTTCATGTGTAGCTACAAATTCATGGGGAACAATACCCTGTGATATAATTGAACACTTTCTTTTTTGAAATAAAAATACAAATGTATAAGAACAACTGATTTGATCATTCAACAGACTGTTAGTGAAGGGGTATTTTATACTAGATGCTCTGCTCAGAAAAAACAAAAATGAAAAACATGGACTCCACACTCACAGAACTCCAGCTCACAAGAGAGAGAGATATATGCAAACTAGTAATGACAAGCTTCGTGAGATACAGAGATGAATATGACAAGGTTCCTCTCCTGGAAGAACTCCCAGACTACAGACCTGCAATTTTGATCTAATTTGATTTATTCTTTTAAACTCACTGACTTTTAAAGTGATTAACTTCATAAACATAATGACTTTGATTCTTACCCAAATAATTTCTACATTTAGAAGCAGCTTAAAAGAGGCCCCTTCAAAACTCCCAACAGAGCAGAGAAGACTTTTCAATTGAGAGTGAGGAAAATCTGCTATTAAAAATACAATTATTTCCTTGGCTTTGCTAGGTTTATATTTGGTCAAAGTTACAGAGAGATGGAAGAGACAAGGCAGATAATACCCCTACTGTGCCAATGGAAAAATCATGATGTCATTTTGTGGGCACCCTCCATGGGAACAGGAGAATAGAAATTATTATATGCAGAAAACAGAATAAACCTATGCAAAATAATGTTAAAAACGGAATCAGAAACAATGTAATCTTAAATAATTACTCTTAAAATATTATAAACTTAGTCTTAAAACTTCTGCCTGCTGCTCCCCTTGCTTGGGTGTGCTCTCTCTTTCTTTGATAAATAAATAAATAAAATCTTAAAAAAAAAAAGAAACTTGGAATCGAAAAGCAGAAGGTGAGAATCCAATTTCTTACTTAGTTGTTCTACTATAATAAAACAACAATAATAACAATAGGGACATAATTATAAATACTTTCCAATTAATATCATAATTAAAGTAAAAGATTTCCTAGGTATCCCTAACTCAAATGTCCATTACTTATACAATGTACAAGATCTATGACATACACAGAGGGCTTAACGAAGGATTTTTAGAGGTTATAGTAGAGAAATCTTAGATATAAATGAGAAGTTGGCACTGGCTATACTATGCTTGGGGAAGAACATTACCTGGCTCTTCTCAAAACACAGACATATAGACACAAGTGTTAGTATCCTCTAGTGTGGCTATTTTTATGCTATTTATCTTCACCGCAGTGGCTATCAAGTGATCAAAACATTTTGCATTTTGATATAACAGTGGGCAGGCTGACATTTAATAACACATGGAATTGAATAGTCTCGGTGTATATTAAAATAACCAATTTATTTCTTAAAATCCATTAGTTTTTTACTATATAAGTCAAATTATTAAAATTATATTCATGTTTTGGTGTTATTACATGAGATACAGCTAAAGGAATGTACAGATGATTTATTTAAATTCAGAAGAAAACTTGGTCAAATTAAAATTTTTTGTGCTTCAAATGACATCATTAAGAAAGTAAAAACCAGGGCACCTCGGTGGCTCAGTCAGTTAAGCATCTGCCTTTGACTCAGGTCATGATCTCAGGGTCCTGGGAATGAGTCTCACATTGGGCTCCCTGCTCAGTGGGGAGGCTGCTTCTCCCTCTCCCTCTAACCCCCCCCACCATATGCACGCTCTCTCTCTCTCTCTCAAATAAATCTTTAAAAAAAAAAAGAAAGTAAAAACCAACCCACAGACTGAGAGAATATATTTACAAATCATATATCTGATAAGGAGTTTGCATCCACTTTATAAAAAACACAAGTCTATAATAAGGACAAACAACCTAACTTAAAAATGAGCAAAGAATTTGAATAGACATTTCTCTAAAGAAGATATACAAATGCTCAAGCATATGAAAAGATGGAAAATATCATTAGTCATTAAAGAAATGCAAATAAAAACCACAAGGATATACCACTCCGCACCCACTAGAATGGTTAGAGTAAAAAAAGACAGAAAATAACAATTGTTGAGGAGGATGTGAGAGAATCTGGCAAGGATGTGCAAGAAACTGGAAGTTTCAAATATTGCTGGTGGAAATATAAAATGGTAGAATCACTTGGGAAAACATTTTGGCAGTTTATCCAAATGTTTGAGAGTTATCATTTTACTCAGCAATTCCTAGGTAGATACCAAGAAAAATGAAAACATATGTCAACTTGTTCTCAAATGTTCTTGGCTCCCTGATTCATGTTAGCCACAACTGGAAACAACTGAAAAGTGCATCAGCTGATGAGAAAACAGAGGATGTGATATGTCTGTATGATAGAATGCAATCCAGTAATAAAAAGGAACAAAGTACTGATAGATATTATAATATGGTTGAACCTCAAAAACATTAAATTGAGGGAAAGAAGCCAGACAAAAGATGATAAACTGCATGACTGCATTCATAGCAAAGGAATAGGCAAATCTATGATAGAAAGTAGATTAGTGGGTGCAAAGGGCTAAAGCAGGAGGCACGGAGGAAGCACACTGCTAATGAACGCAGGGTTAAATCTTCAGATGATGAAATGTCCTAAAATCCGATTCTGATGATGATTGCACAATTCTGCAAACAGACCAAAAACAGAGTTGTACATTCTAACTCTGATATGTTAATTATATCTCAATAAAGCTATTAAAAAATAAGAAGATGAAATATGCCATGGTTCTACTGCAATCGATCTATTTTTATTCTACTCTTTTATTCTATGGAATATTTTTCTTTTTTGCCATTGATTACACCTTGATTTTAAATGGTGAGGGTTTCCATTACTATTTGTTTGTGGATTCAGTTTTTCCTTCTTTGGTTTGTTTTCTTAGAGGAATAAAAGAAACTGCCTTTGAAAACTTACCATCCATGTGACTTGAACAGTGGTGGGGGTCAACACAACTGGAGTATGAAGACGGACAATGACATCTCCTAGTTCTTTCTGTACTTGTCTATGGTCCACTCCTTGTGCTGGTGGGCTGATATCTACAGAGATAACCATTCCCAATATTTAAAAATTCCTAGTAAAATTTCAATGTATATTATACAAGCCATTATTATCAGGTGGTTAGAAATAATCGCAGGGCAAAAAACTAAAACCCTTTGTGACAAAAAACATTAAGGCATATTTATATACATACCATCCCTGCTAGGACATAATTTGAGAGATGATATTTATTTTTACTAAAATAATATTAATAAAAGTGTTTGTAATCTCTCACTCCCTTCAAATACATTGTTGTGGAAGATCTATTATTTGCTTATTAAAGAATAAAGTATGTGCCACAAGACCTCTCTAGAATCATCAGTTTTCTATAGCTGTTGGCATATGGAAGGACTTTCCTGAGTAGTTAATGGAGCTGTATCTGAAAACCGCCGTTTAAGAATTTGTTTAATCCCTTGTCCCAATTGGTAGATTGTACGTTCTTACTCCTTGACCTATTCTAGACTGGAAGCATGGGAAGGAAAGTAATCAGGGAGACTTGGGAAGTGAATTATATCACTAAAGGTTAACAAAGTGAGGGAAAGAAGGGGAAAAAGCCCCCCAAATTCACAAAAATACTTTTGACTGAAGAATTTAGGATACCGAAAAAATGTTCTAAGGTAAACAATTTTGAGAACTTCAGTATCTGACAAAAAAAAAAAAAAGAATTCGGCTTTTTTTTTTTTTTGGAAGTGATTGGGGGAAGGGAGAGGGAGAAAGAATTGCAATACTTAGAATGATATACTCTCGGCCATACATTGTTCAGCCGGCCCAGTATTCACCATCCACATAATACTAGTCTATTGTTCCATATAATGGTTCATATTCTGTGTGCCCGTTAAGAAAAAAAAAGAGAAATTATAGACTTCCGAGTTCATCAAATTGATATCAAATATTGAATTATACACAAACTCAAATCAACTACTTTAACTGGTGCACTGCAATATTAAGTTGATTTTTTCCCTCCAACTATCTTTTAAGGAAGGAAGTCTAATTTAAAATAATTGATTTTCTTAATCCTGTTTTCTCCTATTTTCTCGGGCCACAGTGCAACACTCCGGTAAAAATATTTTTGAGTGCATATCTCAGCCATAACTTAAATGGACTGCACTAACAAACTGGGACATAAATAGGGGAGGGGGGAAAGGATGGGGAAAATGGGTGAAGGGGGACGAGAGCTATAGGCTTCCAGTTATGGAATGCATAAGTCATGGATTAGAAGCCGCAGCATGGGTAGAGGACAAGCTGGTGGGCGCCAGAGGGGAGAGGGATATGGGTGAAATAGATGAAGAAGACCGAGTACATATACTGTGATGAGCAAAGAGGAACGTAGAGAATTACTGAATCATTATATGGTATACCTAAAATGAATACAACACTGAATGTTAATTACACCTGAGTTTAAAAATAAACAAATATTTTTTTAAAGCCACAGCACAGGGAACATAGTCAATGATATTGTAATAGCATTGTACGGTAACAGATGGTAGCTACACTTGTGGTGAGCATTGCATAATGTACAGGTAACTCGAATCACTGTGTTGTACGCCTGAAGCCAATGTAATATTGTGTATCAACTATACTCAAAAAAATTTTTGAAAAAAGAAAATAAATTTCTCAAGGACCTTAGTGTGATGTGGAAGAAGGCATAAAATACAAACTTGGCATTACCTATAGTATATAATGAAGGTTTTTGTTTTTATTTAGTATTTGGAATTTATATCAATAATTTACAAATTTGATTTTAATTAAAATAGCATTATTAAAATACCTTAAATATCTTCCATTGTTTTCCAACCTTCTGTATCGATTTGAGTAAAGCACAAACGTATCCCATGACTCAGGATATATATTTGCTGTTGTTATTTGGAAAATGTATAATGTAAGCAATAAAAAAAAATGAGTGAAAAAATTGGGACATAAATAATTGGGAACTATGCTTTGGTGACTTTTTTCCCCCCAGTTCCACTGTTTTTCATCCTTAACATAAATAGCAGAGCTATTTTACTTGATCTAGAAAAAATATATTATTAATATTATGTGAATAATATTAACCTTTGCTGACACATCTATGGTCTACTGTGATGTTTATGCTACAAGTATTTGCTGCCTTCTTAAAATAAAAGATTTCTAAATTCTATGGTACTATCTTTCAAAATAAGACCTCACATGGCAAAGCGTTCTTTGAAAAGAAGTGCTTTGCAGAATGCAAAGCTGCTGAAAGTGTGGTGTCAAAAAATGATCCTGACATTCAGACACAAAACATGAGTTTTCCTATTAAATATCTGTTAAGAGAACATAAGTCTTTTGCTCTATATAGTCTCTCAGCTGGAACAAGCCAGATCACAAACAACTTTTCATTAATCTTTTTTGACCTTTTCACCGAGAAGTTATTTTATGAGTCAAGATTTAGTGACTGGCAGAGTTATTGAATGATCAAGAAGGTCTGCTGGATATAATCACACCCAAATTCTTCCCCACTCTGTTATCTCCTGCCTTCCATTACAGCTACACCACAAAAACTGTTTCTGTCTACACTGGTAAAAATGTTCTTGGTACTCTGATTTCTTGAGTTAAAGCCACATACATCTTCAAGTTCTAGAATTTTAATTTACTCATTAAATTTAGACACACTAAAAGCAACTGGATCCAAGCAAGGTAAAATATAACCAGTTTCAGATCTTCAAATTCCTTGTTGTACTTTTTCTTTCTCTGGAGACAGGTTCTTTGCCTACAGGCCCTTTATCATCATGGAAAATTAATCACATTACTGCTTAGAGAACAATAGCAAAGTGGCATTCTCTCCTCCCCCGACTGTCATCATGTCAGCAACGTTCCAAAATCACGTGGTGACTATTTTACTGGATTCCTTTAAGGTGCCCTTCTCTGTTACAATAGCATGCTAGTTACTATCATTGAACTACATTGTAATTATAATAATATTTTTATGGCTGTATGGTGCTTTTCATTGCATAAAAATACTACTTTGAATTATATTTTGTTCAAAGCCTTTTACAAATAAGAAATAATTAACCCTTTCTCAAGAACCCTGTGGCAAGTCGGTTGTAACAAATAATAAATCCACAATGTCTATTTTATTAATTCCCTCCATCTACTAGTAGGAAGGGAAATTATAATGCAGCATCCTATATTAACCCCTTGACTCCAGTGACTTCTTAATTTGAAGATGCAAGCTACCAAAGATGAGAAGGAAAATCTTCAATTTTGAAATTATAATATTCTGGGTGTTTAAGTTTTTATTTAAATCCCTATTAGTTACATACAGTGTAATGTTAGTTTCAAGTGCACAATATAGTGATTCAACAGTTCCATACACCACCTAGTGCTTATCACAGCAAGTGTGCTCCTTAATCCCCAACAGGGATTTCACCCATTCCCCCACCTCCTCCCCTCTGGTAACCATCAGTTTGTTCTCTCAGTTAAGAGTCTGTGTCTTGATCTCTCTCTTTTCCTTTTACTTGTTTGTTTTGTTTCTTAATTTTTTTTTAATTAGTCAAAAGAATTGTATACCTCAGGAAGAAAACTTGATTTGCTCCCTTCTGAAACAAATTGCTCCTTTAAACATCTGGTTTGATAAAACAACAACAACAACAAAACAACAACAAAACGCACATTGTAGGTATGCTTGTCAAACTTGAGCAGAAGCACCTCCTGGAGAGCACCTTAACACAGACTGCTGGGCTGCACCCTCAGAGCTCCTGAGCTGGGGCCTGAGAGTCTGAATTTCTAACGTGGTCCTAGGTGAAAGCAGATGATGCTCCTGGGGGAGCTCCACCTGGAGACCCACTCTCCTATAAAAACAGAATCCTTGAGCAATAGGAGTAATTTTGATATCCCTGTCTGGGCATTGTATCCATTAGAGATCACTTTTTGCTACTATATAATTAATTTCGAAGAAGGAGACAAGTTTCCGCCTTTTGAAATATAGTAAAAGCCCTAACTTAGTTGATTGACTCTTACTGTGTAAATGTAACCAATTATTCTGTTTATTTATTTATTTATTTTTTTTTACTCAACAGACCCTGACAGCTCCGGGAAGAGGACACATTCACCAAGGTTAACAGCAAGTTCAGGATCGGGTCTAATGAATCATTGTAACAAGTAATGCGGACATGTTTATCTTTCCTCATGCAACCCCTTTGTTCTGTTTTTTTTTTTTTTTCTTTCAAGTAGTTTCTTTTTTCTTTTCTTTTCTTTCTTTCTTTTTTTTTTCTGTTCCTGCTGAATGCCTCCTTCCAGAACCGGTCATGTCTACAGCTACTGAAATTACCTTGTGTGCGCACAGGATCTGACATGGGGCTTGGGTCACTGAGACCTTGCGGGTTGATGGCTCTGACCATGAATAAGTAGATCGTATTGGGCCTCAGTCCTCTCACTGTGTAGACTGTGGTCTTTACGTGGTTTGCCACCGTCTGCCAGCTATTACTCACTGATTGGCTGAAACAGGAACAGAACTTCCGCTTAAAAAGCAGCCATGAAGGCATCGGCAATGGAGCTGGGTATCAATGACAAAAGTTAATGGCTGAAAATTAAACACACACACACGCACAACACTTGAAGTGTTAAGCCCAATAAATGAAACATTTGGATGATTTCGGTTTATTCAACAACAAAGCCGAGCCCACCTAACGGAAGTGCCATGCACAACAAAATTAAACTCAGCCCCGGAGATGTGACAGCCCGTTGCTAATGCACAGCAGCCCACTAAATGAATACCTGTAGAAGGAATAGAGGCCAAGATCACAACATCAAGTTTATACAATAAATATGGTCCTCGTAAATGTATATATATATATACCTTGAAAAGAATTAACCTGTAGAAAGAATAAATGGACTACAGAGTAAATTATGCCAATACATTTTCCTGTTACAAGGTGTGTTTTCTTTTGCATCAATTCCACATGCAATATTATAATAGAGCCTTCTAAAACTACATATCTGTAAAAGAAGAAAGGAAGCATGTAAGGAATATTTTCCTTTGGTCACATTTTTAATAAAATCGTACATTACATAGTATGTGATTTCTCATCTTCACCGGGTGAAATACCTCTGAATCTAGAGGTGGAGACCCCTTAACAGCCCGCTCGAGATAGGATACCCATTTAGAAAACTTTGTCTACGGTCAAATGCTGCTTTAGTTCATAATGAGGAGAAAAATGTGATTTTTCAGGGCTGCCTGTTCACTTTTCAAAAGTTCTTACACATCAAAGCATGAAAATTACAGAAAAATTGTTTTGAAAGTTGGGAATGATGTATTTGTTGACCGTTACCTTAAACAGATTAGGGAAGCTTAAAATGAAAGTAATGGTTTGTCCTAATGCTTAAAAATGACACTGGCTATCACTATCCTTATAATGGCAAATAAAAGCACATTGAAACAATACAAACTTCATTTTCCCATTTGTGTAAGGATCTTATCAAATTCTCATGATGACTTTATCATGACATTTACTAATTTATAGTCTACATCTTTATATTGATGACAATTTTTTCAAATCACAATTGGACATATTTTTTACCTTTCAGCAGCCAGAAGTGCACGGAATCAATTCCTTAACTGTAGTTTTGAATTTTTTTCTTAGGCTTACCCATAGCTGTATTAAAATATACAGCACAAAAACAGTGGACTTATTTTAAAGTCTGCTCTAATTATGAGGAAGCAAAGTTCCAGGGTTCCATGCCTCGGTAAACAATGCAGATCTTAAAAAGTGTCCTGCCTAATTAAATTATTTTCTGCCTAGTTCTAATGACAAAATTCTCATCTTAAATCTTTACGATGGTCAGGGTAAAGAAAGGAGCTAAGTGATTAGGTCATGAGCTAGATCCCCATAGACTTAGTCATAGGTAATGCATATTTAATCTATAATCAAGTTATAAGTGAAAAAAAACCTAGAGTCTATTCTTGCATAAAATCAGATAAATACTTAAAATTCACTGTTCAACATGTTCTTAAGATAAAACAGCAGGATAGCTCACATGAGATTTTAGGATATAAGAGCAAAAGCAACAACTCAATGGAGAAAAAAAAAGAGGAACTGTCCCATACCTGAAAGCCTCAATGATATATGCACTTGCTGGAAGGGCTCCAGGGGTACCTGGTTGCCAGGACAAGGTGACACTGTTCTTAGTAACATCAGTGACCTGTGGTTTGGATGGTGGGCCTGGCAGGTCACTTAAGTCATAGTTTTTACTGATTGTTGCTCCAGATTCTATAGAGGACAAACAGAAAATGCTTCATTCCTGATTGCATGAGATGCCATAACATTTAAAAGAAGGAAAATAGTCTATTGAAGAAGTTGACCTAGACCATGAGGAATTCATCTTCTTGAATCAAAAGAATGTAAATGAATATTTGCTTTACCTACATGTCACTAAATGTTTACTTTCATGCAAGATCACTAAAATTGCTTGCTCTTCAGGTAGAGGAAATTTATCAAGGACAAATGTATCAAATTGCAAAAATGCAATATTATGTGGAGAAATTAAAAAGTGGCATATGACTTAGTTTTTACATTCAATGAATTTAAAATCTTGATTTTTCAATTGTTATTTGATGATGAGCTAATCAATGAAATGGGCTCAAGATTTCTTCTGCTGAGATAATTCCCAGGACTCACCTGTCACATCCAGCACAGCACTCCATGAAGTCTCTCCACTTGAACTTGTAGCCACACAAGTATAAGTACCAGTATCAGAAATCTAGTGTGCAAGGAAGGGAGAGAATTCAGTTATTTTAATTAATTTGTAGAGTAATTACTCAGTCTCAAGGAGGTAATATTTAATTTCTTAAAATACGATGTATCATTTGGCTCTCCAAATTGTTCATTAGAGTCAATCATATGTACACACAAAATATTAAAATCAACTCATATAATATTATTTTATTCATGACAGGAATTCAATGATTTTTTATTATATTTCTACAACTAAAAATTATGTGTCTGGTAAACTCTATTTGTCTGGTCCTCTTGCCTCCACGGTAATACCTTTATCTTCATATAACTCCAATTTATGATGGGGCTTCGCTGTGTCGGAGTTACATACGGACAACTCAGGACAGAATTTTTCAGAATCCTATAAATATTCAGAGAGCAGTAAAACAAAACTGTCCTTTCCATCTTATATATTTTCATGGATAAAATGTACTCAGGAGTAAATAAGCACTGAGGTAACAGGGGGCTTTTTTTTTAAAAAAAAGACATGGAGAAAAGTGAAGGAAAAAAACCCCTAAATCTCTTCGTTTAAATAGATTAGTATTCATTTATATTTAAATTTTAGTAGTGTGATAGAGAATGAAATAAAATTATATCATAAACACACAAACCATGTCTATGGAATCACTGCAGTTTAGAGCTGAAAGGACCATGCAAATAATCTCATCCATCACTCTTTAAAGCATACTTAAAAACTGTCATTTCATTGATCACTTAAAATGTTTTTGTTATTCACTGAAGAGTGGGAAAGGATTTTTTAAAGTAGTTGATAATATAATCAAGAGTTCTCTTTTACAAATGTAAAAGGTATACATTTCTGTGATTATACTTTGGCGAAAGGCACAAATCAATAAAAATTTTATGTCAAAAATCTTCTTTGTAGTTGAGTCCTGTGGGCCTAGAATATAAACATATTTATTTACACTGGTTTAGAGATGAGACTGGGAAGAGAAATCGATGACCAAACTGAATAAGGCAAGTGACATGATGCGAAATTAAAATTCTGTGATGAACATGAGTCTAATTGTTGATGAAATATGAGGGTTCATGGAATATAATATCTGTTGGGTCCAAAGTCTAAGGGTACTGATAACTCAACCTTCCACAACTGATTATCAGGTAAATCATTAGTGCATGGATATTCCTGCTGTGCCACCATTTTAATTGATTTTAAATGTCATTATGTATTTTAACTTGAGCTTCAAACTGCTCTGGCACATCGTTCTCTGCCATATTATCTTCATACAATTGTCTTCTGTTATACGTGGGATGATAGGGGATAGCCATTGTAAAAAGAGCCATTCTTTGAAACGTGGCTGTGCATGCATTATAGTCATTAGAAATCTCTCCATTTAAGAAGCATCACTCACAAACTAAATATAATGAGCCAACGTTGGATTTTAATGTGACGTTCATTTGAATATGGTCTGTGAAAGAGTAAAGAATTTGCATTTTATTATAGCTGTTGAACTAAAATGTAGCACTTGTTATTATGTGCAAATGCTGAAAGAAGGGTATGTAGGTAATGCTTCTTAACTGCATCTCCTTGTCATTGTGTAGAGACACAGTCTGACATTAGCGGTGGTAGGTAGGTTTTAATGAGTATTGGAATATTCTACTTCTCAAAAGATACAGATTCAGTTACCAATTAGCTGGACTATGAGAACAGAGTGTTCATCACATTATCCCCCCCCATTGCACTAAGTACCAAAAAAGAAAAAAAGAAGGAAAGTAATAGTGAGACACAAAGGAATATGACTTACAGAAACCCTCTCTTGACTATACGAGTGAAGTAGTGTAAAAATACATTTTTATATCCCTTTAAAGACAGTCACCTTACAGAAAAAGAACAACATTTTCATACTGGAGTTTATCAAAAGCCATATCAAAAGCTGAAATATCATTGCTAAAACTCACTCTTCAATCACCATCATCATGACTACATTCATTCTTATTCCTTTAACTTTAAATAATTTCTTTTCGGGTCATGAGTGCTTCATCTCCCTTCATTCCTTCTCCTTTTATCCTTAACCAAGTGCTTTAAAAAGAGATTACTGTGCTGGCACACTCCATCACCTGTTTTTCTCCTTGTGTGGTTGGCTGCAGAGAAGCCCCCAGGAGCTTGCATCTCAGAGAGATGACTCAGAAGCCTGACACAGGGGTCGAAGTTTGTTTGACATCATCAAGCACCCACCTTTAATTGTTTCTTTCAAATACTACTGGGGATCTTTACTATTCAAGCACACCCTTTAATTCAGTGGTACAGTGAAAATGCATTAACTTTCATGGCCCAAGTCTGCCTTTAGCCCAAAGACAGAGCTGAAAGTGTTTACTCAAGGAGAGTTGGCATTAATTTTTTAATAACTCTCATTTGTTCAAAGAAAGTTAACAATTAATTTAGAATCAATAAAGAGACAGGCTAAAATCTGTATTAATTCATTTGTCTTTTAACTGAATTTGACAGCATTTTTTTCTACTTAAAGCAATAATTAATGCCTATGTCTCAAAATTAAAATGAAAACATTATATATTAATTTTATTGACAAATATACAAATTAACAAAGGTTTGTGTGCTTTGAGTGTGCATCTACATATTACAAAAAGCCCTTCCTTTTTTGTAAATGTCTGGGTGATACGCTGGTAAATACTAAATAAACATGTCATTGTAAACATATTTGTATTTTAAGAGAAGAAATAATCCATGTTGTAATCAGTTGAAAATACATGTAATGAAAAATATTTTAGCTTCTTCCCTAGCTTCCAGATAGGAAAATTCAACATTGTTTTTCTGTTTTTTTGTTTGTTTGTTTTTTATCTTGGCTCCCTATTTCTACCTAGATACCAGATTCTACTAATTGTTCTTCCACCAAATCATTTTTGATTAATTTTTCTTCATGTACTATATCAGTCATCTTAATTCTGGCTCTCATTCCCAATCTTTTGACTATTCTAGCAAACTCTTCAGTTTTACCATAGTGATTGCCACAGGGAGGGGAGGCTCTGTACGTTTTGTTGAATAAAGTGAATATACTCATAGAGGGAAGGCGGTCCTTATCTGGTATTCACACCTTGTGTAATCAATCCCTCACCTTGAATGTGTGTGGGATCTGTTGACTTGCTTCTGGTCAACAGAATAAGGCAAGGGTGACAGGATGCCCCATTTGTGATTATGTTACATAAGATTGTAATCCTTGTCTTGCCAGGAGACTCCCTTCCTCATTGACTTTGAGGAAGCAAGTAGTCATAATGGGAATATCAATATGGCAAGTAACTAAAGGCAACCTTCAGCAACAGCAAACAAGATGCTGAGGTAATCAGTATGATAGCCATAAGGAACTGATTGCTGCCAGCAATCATGTTGCTCAGAAGCAGATCTATCCCCAGTCAATCTTCAGATGAGACCACAACCCTGATATGTGATTGTCCCTTTGTGAGACCCAGAAGTGGAAGACCCAACTAAGTCACACCCAGGCTCCTAACCCCACAGAAACTATGAGATAATAAATGTATGTTGTTTTAAGTCTCTAAGTGTTTGTTAATATTGTTAAATCGCAATAGATAGCTAATACAATATTCAGAAATGGCATTTGAGTTGCTTCTGAAGTAAGTTTAATTTGTTAAATTGGTAGGAATGGTCGCCATCTTCTGTTAAAAGAACAGCGATGACTTGTCCTTGCCCACAGGTTTAAATCTAAACTCCACAGCAACTTAACCTAAAATGTAAGATTTTCCACCAACTAGCCAAACCTACCTTCTATGCAATCTTATGTCTTTGGTTTTTTCACATAATAAATTGGCCAAGCTAACTTATACACATTTCCTTACAAACGTCCTTTGTTCATGACAATAAATCAGAAGCATTTGACACTTTCAAATGACTTTAAATATCCCATTACTATCATTAACTTCATGTGTTTAAGATTTTTAGCTTTATCAATTGAATACATATGAGTTGGAATGAAAGAACAAAAAGTTTCTAAGTCTGTTATGATCTTATATTAACATAAGGACTTTCTAATACCAATTCATCAAATGATGAATTTGAAATAAGAAATAAAATAAGAAATAACATGGCCTATAATAAAAGGTATAGCAACTGTGCTAGTATGGAAGATTTTAAGTTCACAAAGCAATTTTTCCCGAGGGCAATACTTATGTAGAAATGAAGATCCAAATACAAGTCAAGCGTTACTTACCCGTAAATTCTTAATCTGCAATGTTCCTTGTTCTTGTATAGTTGCTCTTGGATCTCTACCCAGGAAAGTAAATCCCTCCTTTAACCAGCTAATTACAGGAAGAGGATCACCAGTAGCTTTACATTTCAGTAATGCTGTACCATCTACTGCTAGTGTTTGGTTGGCTGGGCCTTGTAGAATTATGGGTGGAGGTCTATCTGTCAAAACTAAAGGATAAGGATATTTTCAGTATATTTTAACTTCTCAGAAGTTATATCATACTATTAGGTGTATATCCCATACATATTACTTATAATTTATTCTGCATATTCTATGTCCATTATGTATCTATCATTTATACATACTATATATACAGCATATTTACTGAGGACATACTATTGTTTATAACTTACTCTGAATTACCTACAGTAGATGACAATAATAAATTCTGACATTATAGTATTGTTGAAAGTCTTTATCATATTAAAATAAAAATAAAAATATGGAAAGTTCATGGCAGTTATTCACAAAATGTACGCTTATCTCATATGCATATTTAAGAAAACTTGTAGAGTGTCATATGGGTAGAAACAATTTTCATTTTTGCTTTTATTATAAATATATGTATAATATATAATTTCACCCTTCAAAGCACCTTGCTATATATAGAGACTATGATATGTTGGTTGATGTTAAATTATTAGATATAAACATTTTACTTCCAAGATTATGACACTGGGCTTTAGATTACAGTATTATAATCTGGATGATAGGATTTAACCAGTCCTTAGAATTAAGCAATAATGTAGTTAAACTCTATTTATGGTATGACAAATTACGGTTTTCATGTAAAATCACTGTTTATATATATATCTTCTGTGTTCATCTGGGTAAAATTTCCACAATTTCATAAACTTCTAGTTCAGTGTTCTTTTAATCAAATATTGTTTCATGGCAGTATCTTCAGTGCCTTTGGAAGTATTTCATAATGATTTAGGAAACATATCAGAATTTTAGTATTATTTAAATGGGTGATGGAAATATGGAGCCATTTGGGTGCAAAGTTTCATCCAGAATTCATTAGAAGAACACTTCATAACAAAACTGACATGTTCAGGTCCAAGGAAGGCTTTGTTAAGAGACAGTTCTATAAACGTCAGCATGGATTTTGGTTAATTACCCAAAATATTTATGCTTATTTATATTTATGTTATGTTTATTATATAATTACCAAAAATATGTATATCATATATAAATATAAAACTTTCACAGAAAGGAAAAACAACTGTGGATTTTAATGATTGTTAAGCAACTGTGAGGAGAAAGTGTCTATAAAGAACGTCATGTTGTGTTACAATGTACATTATCAAAATGTCATTTTGCTCATTAACACTCTAATCTTCTTTGTCCACCAGGTTATCTGTTTCCCAATCTATATGCATCATCTTTATTATTAGAATTTGTGGTTTTGAGGGAAAAACATTAAGTTGAGCAGCCCCTTTACAGCCTACCATGAGAAAGCCAACCAATTTTAATTTAAAATAGAAGTTTTGAAATAGAGCCATTGCATGTGCATGTTAAGATACAGTGGACTTCCAATCAACCTAAACCTACTACATCAAAATATGTATTAAAATGTGTGTATGTATGTGTGTCTATATACATATGTAAAACCTTATAAAAAACTAAAAAAATAAAATTTTGTTTGTGTATTATTTACAAACAAAAATTAGAACTACTTCTTTCATGATTTTCTTGATCAAATTCTTCAGTTTAGAAGTAAATAAAATAAACTTCAGAAAATGTGAAAATACAATGTTATATTAATTCTGGCACATACTGCACAAATAGATATCCAAACTGCATATTCACGGAATTTATTTTTTTATGGGTCAAAAATGAAGGGCCAATTCACAAAACATGAATAATTCTAAATTCAATGAGAAAAATGGGTCTGCATTACTAGAGTAGAATCTATTTATTCAATTTTAAATATTCTTACTGCTTTGTTTCAAATTAAATATCTCTACAGAATTTAGGTAACTTCTTATAACCTGTTTTTATTTTTATATCCCTGAAATCATTAGATATAGCCAAGGACATCTGATTAGTCTCTTCCCTTTTTATTGCTCAAATGAGTAGCTCAATGTCTTTTTAATGAATTTGATCAATAAAGTAATTGAAAATCTCCTGGCCAGAAGGAATTTTCAGTTTCAAACATGTTATGGGTGAAAGATGACCACAGGTTTCCATGACACTGAGGTCAAAGGTTAAATGAACATTTAGGGTTTCCAGTGATCTGTGACCAATTCCATGGTTTTCTTTAACTATGCATTATAAATCCTCAATAAACCATTCATATAAGATCATGGTGTGACATTTATTGTCAACATAATATATAAATACATTTCTTCTCTCTAGTCCTTTTAGATGTTATTGGCTGTACTCAGAATTCTCATTATAATTTTCTAATTTTCTGAGAGAAAAAGAGCAGAAGAAAGGAAGAAATGAACAGTGCCAGTGAATTAATAAGAAGGTCTTCTAAAAGGATATTTTGAAATTCAAGTATATTGAAGCATCTTCATTCAATCTATAATCAGTAAAATTATCACTCAACAGAACATTTCATCACCATTAGCAATCTCATCTTATATGAACACTTGAGTTAAAAATACCTCCAAGAAAGGAGTCTAAGTGTAAAAATGTAGCAACAGAAACACTGTTATAGATGTTTTGCTTATTTCTCTGAATATGACATACGTTTTTTATTCTACATTGGAATTTCAATTGGCTCTAAATTGCCCCGGGTCACACCCCCCAAAAAATGTTCCAAATGAAAATGATAGCTCACGTACCATTAAATTGTTAACCAATCTGAAAAATTCAAAACTATGAATAGATGCTCAAGGCATCAGCCAATGTAGCAAGTTAGTATTTAGAAAGAGTTATTTGTAATAATAATGTGTGTCTGTGTGTCTGTGTGTGTGTGGTTAGGTCTTGAAGTTACAGTTCTTTACTGTCAAAATCAATAACTCTATAACCTTCATTCAATGTTTTTGTAAAAGGATCTTGACTTTGTGATTGCTTACTTAAGTAAAAATCAATGTAGGAATTAATATTCAAGCTAGTTGTAGCAAACTGTTCACAGTCATCTCACTCGTCAGGTTTAAATTTGTATTCACTTTTTTAGTTTTGACTAAAAAAGTCTAGAACTACTATTCTAAGCTAGAATAACTACTGTTTTGTTTTGTGAGATTATGTCATCAACCAACACAAGTTCTAAAAAACAAAAGTTCCTTTTCATTTCATCAGAAATGACTCTGAGTATCTGTGATATCATCTGGCTTTTCTAATTCATAAATTTTGTTTTCTACAAATATGGTTTGCCTTTTCCCATAACAATTTCTTTATTTAGAAACATTTTAGAGTCTGTCCTTTGTAAAATAATATAAGGAACTAGATTATAGTAGAGGTCTTCATCATTATACTTAGAATGTTTTATTCTTGTATATAGAAAACAATTTAGGCTATGGCCAGAATATCTTCTTTTCCCAGTGTATGTACCTGGACATTTTTGCTAATGGTGTAAAGCATAAGGACTTAAGAAAGATGAATAATTATCTTCTATTTCTTTTAAAAGATACATAGGTATGAAGGAACAAAGATCTTGCCCATCTAAAGAAAGAATTTCTTAGCACTGTTGCCCTTTAACCTGACTTGTTTCAGTTCCATGGCAGTAAATTTCTGCAACATCAGCAGGTGTGGCCATTAACAACTGAATGTTCCTGCAACCAATGTTTGTCTGTTCCATTTATTTCTATTCTTGACATGGTGCTGAATCAGGCAATGCCATAGACAGACATTAAAAAATATTTCATTTCTATTAATTTTAAATTACCATTTAATCTACATGTAAATTTGAATTGTATAAAAGTGAATCAAATTTCATGAGCAGAGAAGGAAGAGAATCAGAGAGGTGACAAAACAAAGTTCTCATATCTCAGAAACCAGCATCAGGGGAAAATAAAAGCCCCACAAACCTCACAAATATAGGAGAACAAGAGAGAATTTTTAGTTTAAGACATCAAAGAACAGGGCTTAAATTCATACTCAGAAGCTCACAAAATATCTAAAGTTCCCTACCTATCAAATGTGACAAATAAGCTCTTGGGGGAAATAAAAACAGATTATGAAGATCCTTACATCCTTTTCAACAATCACTATAAATGTAGGTGCCTTAGCTACGATTTATAGTACATAATGCGTACATAAAAAAAAACCCCAACAAGTTTAGCATCCATCAGTAGTTTGGAAGGTATTTAATTAATTTAACTTAGTGAATGAATAATTAAAAAGTCATAGGATGTCATAATGTGATTAGCTAACTAAGAACTCATCTCTGTTTCCACTGATAATATTAAAGATGGTATCTCTTCCTCCTCTAATGAGATAATATTATTAATATCCATTAGAAGCAATCATGTCAGCATAAGACTAAAAAATATACAGATGACATATCTATACACTGGGAGTGTGATGTCATTTATTTAAAATAAAGAATCACCCTATTTTTAAAAATAAAATAGATAATCTTTGATATTCTTCTTTGGGACAGTACATGTAGAATTAGAGACTATTAAAAATGTTATTTTACCTAGATTCAAACTTAGAAGATAAGCATTCATTTACATGTTTAGCAACTCAGAAAATTTCACTTGGTTAATATGGATCTTGAAATAAAAATTATTATTTTCCTAAAACAAATCTAATAATAATATCACACCATCAGTAACTTCCAGTTGAGCTTTTGCTAAAATGCTTCCCGCCACAGTTAGGGCCTGGCAGATATAGTAACCCGCATCCGAGCGCTGAATGTTGGTAATTGTGAGGTCTCCGGTTGGCGAAACAGAACATCTACTGTTGGGTTGCTGGGGTTGATTTGGAAAAAGCAAGTTCTGTGGAAGAAACACAATCTCATCAATATCTTTTCCCACTCAGAAGGAAAAATATATTAACACTAGCTACTACTATTACTGGAATATGGTTGGAAAATACATTTATTCTAAAAATATGGTGTTGAAATGATTAAATGTCATATAGGGAGTCTCAATGGGAAACCTTTTCCAAATCACGGAAAAATAATATGCTTTAAGAAGTCAGCATGCTCTAGTCTGAAGGAATAATCATCTAAAAACCCTGAATCTTGGGGCACCTGGGTGGTTCATTGGGTTAAGCTTCTGCCTTCTAGAAACTCAGGTTATGATCTTGGGGTCCTTGGAGCAAGCCCCACGTGGGGTTCCCTGATCGTCAGGGAGTCTGCTTCTTTCTCTCCCTCTGTCCCTCCGCCACTTGTGAGCACATGCACACGCTCTCTCTCTTAAATAAATAAAATCTTTAAAAAATAAAAACCATAGATCTTTATCTTAACCCTTTACTTTCTCCCTTACTTACTTCCAGTTACTTAGTATCTTTGAAACATGGCTTCCTCATCTGTAAAATGGGCATAACAATGCTCATGTGACTCATCAGACATTGTGATAATGTGAATGTAACATTAACTATGCTTGTGCTTTATAAACTGCACATTACTAAGGAATGCAAAATAGACTTTCCACTAATCATTCTGAATACTTGATGTAATTACCTGAATTTCTTATGAAGATGTTCAAAAGTGTGTGGCTGGGACTGACAGAGAGAGACAGCCAAATCTACTCCTGCTATACAATTTCTGCAGATTGTAATAGCTTTGAAAGGATCTAGGTATATATACTACCATCTATGCAAGATGAAGCAAATCATTGAAAATAAAAAGGTGCAGAATGTTTCTGAAGCATGCATGTGCCCTTAAAGAATTTCAAATATGACTTTTCTATGAAAAATTATTTTACTTTACTATACATCTCACATTAAACATGAGCAGCCTAAGCATAAAATTTTAGAAGTTCCTATATGAGAGCAGTAATGTTAACTTGGATGACCTATGTATGCCGCTTTACTGTTGTTCAATTAAGAAAAACATTTGGGTATAACAAATCATATTGAGGTATGTTTCCAAGTTGGATTATAAATAAGAACATATCAATTTTTATGTTGTATTTACTTACAAAAAAGAACATTATAACCCTCTGGGATCTGTTTCTCGACATAGTAATTAATTTTCCAGGTTTGTAATTAAACAGTTTCAATACGTTACAATCAGGAGGTAATAACATTCAATTAAAGGCATAAGACACATTTTCACCTTAAAATGTTTTTACCCTTGAAGTAATACCAATGGAAGAGGATAAAATAGGGTATTAACACTTTTCAATTACGCTAAATGACTTTAATCCTGCGAATGATGTCCTACTTTAATTAGAAGCTCTTCTCTTTATTGCAACATGATGGATGTCCACTTTATTGGATTTGAGTGTGACACTATAAGGCCACTTTACATAAACATTACCATGTTATTAAACCCTTTCTAAAAGAAGTGATATTTGCGAGCATGTCAGGAATACAATTTCAAAATGCTATTGCCCTCCTATAAAACTTGTATTACTATATAAGGCTAGACATTTTCATGCACATGAAACAATTTGAGAACAAGCTAATTCTCTCGTGGAATCCAAATATATTACTGAAATAAACCATCTAAAAGAGAAGGGTCTAAATTTTAAAGCCACTTGAAAATGATACAATAACTCAAAGTATGCACTTTCCTACAATTAGCCATTAGAATACTAATTTACATAGCACTAATACATCAGATGGGCTTAATTCTCTCTGGAATCTCTTCCTCTACAATGTAATATCAGTCCACCTTCTAAATGATTCGTTGACATGGAAAATGGCATATGATTGAGGTTAACCCATCATCTTTATTCCCTGCTTGTGTGATATAGGCACAAGAAGATGGATTACAAGCAAAACCCAGGAATTCTACAGAGCTCTTCTTGCCTTGAAGTTTCTAGATATCCTATTAGTGCTAATTGGCATTATCAGCACATATTGAGGAATATGGACCATTAAGTCCAGGCTCTTAACTCTCTCTACTGATGGAGAGTCATAGATCACTGTAAAAACTGGATACTGGAGAGAGTAAGACCATTTTACTTTTCCTAATATTCCAATTCATAATTTGAAACTTTACAATTTGCTCAGGCAATTCTCTTTTGTTCTCATTCACAGTCTCTCTCTCTCTCTCCGTCTTTTGCTCTGATGCAAGGGAGATAGATGAAGGAAAGAAAATCAGACCTAAGATTATAATCAAATCAAGTTACCTAACTGGAATTTTTTTTCAGAGATTAATATCTCTGGAATTACCTGCCACTTTGTTAAAAAAAAAAGGAAAAAGAAAAAAAATATTTTAATGCTATTTGATTATCTTTAAAAGCCATTAAAGCAGAATGTAGCATATTTAAATACCATGTTTATTGGGCCACAGGACCAATACACATGTTATGCAGTATCTTATGTCAACCTAGAGCTATTTGAGGGCATGTGATTTACACATGATACAGCAGTATTTATATAACAACGAGATATGGGATGATGGAATTTGACTCAATACATGGATTTAAAGTGTAAATTTGCAACAAACTGCTTTATATCATTATATTTATAAAATTGATAAATAAGTAATATATTCATAACATTACATTTACTATCAGTGGCTTGAGGGAGTAACTTTGATGGATCCCAAAGCCACCAGGGTGGGTGGAGGGAAAGAGCTACAGGCAAGAGAAAAAATCTTGTCGAGCTACCAGGGCTCTCCAGCGTTCACCCATCCCAGCTTTCTCAGGCACTGTGTGGGTCTTGGGCAGGGGTGACCAGAATGGTGTTGAGCCTCTCCTTGGTGCTGGGCATTACATCAGTGTCTGGGCAGTGGGAGACCTCAGGTCCTGGCAGCCCTGGCCTGAGCAGAATTATGAAGATGAGGACTAAGGGGAACTTCCTGATGCCTCTCTACCCAGATAATCATACATAAATTCTGATCAACAGATTCTTTTAATATAGTCTAAAAAATTTCCCATCTCTGGTAAAGTTTCTAGATTTCCTGGGACTCTTAATCATGGTTTTCATTATTCCCCAGGAAATTCTTCCAGAATTTGGACTAACAACAGAGGGTGCTGAGGTCTTTTCCTGAGAACTGTATGTCTCCTTAAAGATGGTTCTGGGAAGTCTACAACAAAAATATCCCTAGGTCCTTCAGGAATGCACTGATAAGTTCTTAGGCAAAGAACAGTTTTTGGTTTAAGCTGGAAATTCCATTCATTGCCTGAGAACCTAGAGGCTAAGTGCTTGTTCAAGTTTTGACACTAAGTGGAAAAAAAAATAGCATATCCAATTGACTTTGAACAGAGTCTGAAAGGCCATGCTACCCAGAGAGGGCCATGAGTGGACAAATCAGGGCACAGCAAAGACCAGGCAAGTGCTAATTCTTTCTGGTATATAATGTGTTATTTCCTTCTGATATATAATGTGTGATAACGTGCTATCTAACCCCACTACGAACGAATCCAGAAGGGATGATGGAAGTAAATACTTCTCCCACTCTTAAATGGAAGTATCCTTAAGTTAATGATAAAGAAAAGGCATTTATAATATCTCTCTATGTACAGGGATTGCAATTGGTTTCTAGGTAAATTGATAATGGAGATACTGTTTGACTTGTTTACATATGCCTAAGATATTCTAAACACTTTATATGTACAAATTCATTTGATAATCCCAATGTAGCTTGCTGCAAGGAAGTAAAATTATTTTTCTGTTCAGAGATTTTAAATAGCTACAGAGGTTTTGATTAGGCTCTTTAAGATAATTTAGTTACACTGAGTTGTATCTATTCTATGTAAAATACAGAATTTTGGACATTAATACTGGAAAATAAAGAACATTATATAGAACATCTAACTCTCACTTATTTTAGAATTAATTGTTCTCTTTTTTAGAAATAAAATAAATTCAACACCGATAACAGGAAAGGCGAGACAAACTTTGAGGAGCACCAGAGACAGAGTTCAGAGATTTCAGAAAAGCAGTCAAAGTTCACACTCACCTGGCTGCCTTCTTTTTGCCAAAAAACAGCTGGCTGTGGGTTTCCTTTAGTTTCACAGGGAAATGTCACTGTTCGACCTTGAGCAACAATCTGATCTCTTGGCCTAACCACAAACTGTGGAGGAGCTATAATTTAAAAGGAAAGAAAGTGTATAAATATCAACCATTGACAAAGAAAAAGATATCAAAGGGAAAATCTGGTGGATTGCTCAGAGCCAGACAGAAGCTACAGTTTTTAATTTTTTTCTATTTTTAAAGCATTTTTCAACACACAATGGGGAAAGGAGAAAAGCACTCTATCAAATGTAAGGAAAAGAAAACTTATTAGTAGATACTTCCTAAATGTTGTACATAATAATCCTATAGCCCATATATTTGCATAGGAAAATAGATTTTTCATGATATTTTAATGTTTTTTAAAGAAAAATATGGTTTCCCAATTTGGTTTTGCTATTTGAATAAAGGTAAAAAAGAATCACTTCATTACACAAGTATCTCCTTCTTCTGAAATTAGTCTATTCACAGATATTGACCATTCCTGTAATATTTATAAGACATTGTTCTACACGCAGGGATACCAGAAGCCTTAGAATATGATCCTTATCCTCAAAATGCTTATATTCTAGAATTGACGAATTAAAGTGTTGAAGCATCAAAGAATTAAAGAACTGGGAATTACATACAAAGATAACTAACGATATAATGACATGTTTGAAGGTGGTTGATTCTACTTAATTCATTTCATTTAGATAAATAAGCATTAGTCAGACAATTGCTATGTTCCCCTACTGGACACAAGGATACAGAGATAAAAAAATATATCTATCCTGCAGGTTTCAAGGAACTCACAACCTAATGGGAAACACAAAACATGATGATGACAACAGCAAAAGCAAGGTAAAACAATTATCTAAGATTATGCTAAGTTCAACGATAGACATGCTTTCAGAGCACAGCATAGGGCATTTAAATCCTAGTACATATAAGAAATGTGACAGGACTTGAGGAGAAAAGGATCCCTTTGTGTTATGGCAGCTGTGAAAGGCTTTACGCAGAAAATACACATTATGGGGACTTTGAGGAAAGGGCAGCATTTAGATAAGTGGAGAAATGAACACATTCCAAACAAGGAGCTTACTGAGCAAAGTGCAAGAAGCAAGAACACATCCAGCGTACAGTGTGTATTCTGGCAGAAATGAAGGGTCTCAGTTGTGTAAACATCATTGGCTGAAAAACATAGATTTGGATGTAGCCTAAGAAAGTCCTGAGAAGCCAAAGTGGGGATTTTGTTCAGGGTCTTTTTAATCTAAGAAGTGACAGATGCAAAGCAAAATCGTTGGATGCCTTAACCCTTTAATGAATATAGTATGGACTGTGAGGGAGGCAGATCGGTCAATAAAGTAGGAACTCTGGTTGGAAGACGAGGGGAATGACGCAGGCAAAGATAATGAGATCTAGGCATGAGTAACTCCAATAGAAAAGAAGCTAGAGGGATGGGGGGTAAAAATCCTGAGAAAGTTCAAGTTTAAATTGGGAGCCAAGTGAAAGACAGTAGACAGTATAACTGGAAGTTTTCACAAGGACATCTTCTTCATACCAAAACCCACTTCCGTTGACAAGAAAACAGCATGTTTATTCCATGACTTTTCTCATCATCTGTTTACACTTTAAATCGTTGCTTATGCTAGATAATGGAGGATGAAAAAAATTTTTAAATCAACTCTAATTTTTAAAACCTGCTGTCCATGGCAACCATCCCAGAATTTGAACTCTAAAGAATTAGAACAATAAATGACATTCAGTTGAAGTCTTTACCCAGAATTCTTTCAGCCCTCCGGGAATACAAAAGAGCAGGTCCAAGAACAAAGTAAATGTAGGGTAGCCTCAAACATACAACCAAGGACTCATTCTTACAAGGATGCTAGTGTAGAAACAGCAGCAGATTTTTTTTTTTAATTCACTGAGATTTGTAGTGACTTAGTTTTTGGGGTTCTATTATACTGCCTCCTAACTCAACCCATTCAACACATACCCCAGGGACGGTGGGGATAAATCTACTAAGTATCGATAACAGTAGACCCAGTCTAACAGTATGGAGAACCCAGATTTATGGATCTATTTGAGCAGAATGTGGTTTATGTTGCCTTGCATTTTCAGGAGATTACTTGCTTCTTACAATCTTCTTGTTATTTCTACACAATTTCACTGAATCAGCAGATACACTGATTTTTATTCCATGTTTCCTAATAGGAATGATAGATTAAATCAATGTTACATAATTACTTCAGGGACAACTCTTAAAACACTGCAATGTCCATTTTTCAGGGAAGATATGAAACCACTGGATTATTTATAGCAAAAAAGACTTAAGATTGGTCTCCATTATCTCCAATATCCAAGAAGAATAATATGTATTAAGTAAAATTTAAAGATCAAATATAGTTCCCACTTTTTAGTAATCCTACGAAAGACAAGTTTAGTGCCAATATGGATACTAAGTCAGAGTAACTTAGCTTATACCTCATTATCAAAAATTAAAAAAAAAATCACTTAACAGTCTGATAAAAGTCACACATTCAGCTTATTTGTTCATTTGTACTGCTTTGGACTAGAAAGAATTTAAATTGGCTCATATAACTGGTTAGTAAAATCTTAGAGCCCAATTTGTGCTATGAAGTCCTTCTTTATATAATTCATTTTTAAAATGTAATAGTTGAGAATACACATGATTGAAGTCACCAAATAAAACATCAAATGAAAAGAATGAAAATATATTTTATAGTCTTAAGTATATTATGCTCACCCTGTATCTGTCTACCCATCTACATCAGTAAAATTAACATCTATACTTTAATTATAATCACATATCTCCTTGTATTTAATATTTTAAGCTTTTAAGAACTTTGTAGTAGATAAGTGATTTTGCAAAATGCTTTTGGAATCTAGATCCTACAATTTTAACCAGCTGCAGAAACATAGCCCCCCCTCCCCAAAAGGACTGGCAAATGACCACAACTATCTCTCCACTTTTCTGAAAAGATATGATTCATTCATTTATTCATTCAAAATGCACTGATTGACTACAAATTATGAGACATTCTGTTGGGTACAGGGGATGGAAAGCCAAATAAAAAATTGGCAGATACTTCCAAGTAAATAAGTAAATAAACACAAATGGAGCATAGTTTGATTTGTATAATAATACAAAAAGCAGAGGGCACTGGGTGAGAGAGTTTGGAAGAGCAGCAAATAGACTGGGTGATGAAGAAAAAAGAGGCAAGATGCCAGACAGGGCCATGGTTGAGTTGTGTTTTAAAGCACAAGTAAGAGTTCACTGGATGAAGAAGAGTAAGGTCACTTGGAAAGAGAGAAGCAGACATAAGGCAGAGACTTGAGGAGCTGGATGTGTTAGAGGAGTGTAAATGGTCTTAAGAATAAAATCAGAGATGCAGAAGTGATATAAATAGGGCCAGATAATTTATGCTAAAAGAACTTAAATTTTGCCCTGAAAGCTACGGAGATCTGTTCGAAGATGTTTATGCAAGAAAGATGTAGTAAGATTTATGTTTTAGAAAGAATGCTTTTTCTAAAAAAAGAAAGGACAGATGCGAGGTGGGAAAATCTTAGCAAGTTAGGGCAGAAAATCCAGTTGAGAATTGTTAGTCATAGTAGCACCTTAAGAGAACATTTCATCAGAACTCTTAAAGGACAAAGAAATTCTGTAATATTATAATGTAACATTTACTAATACTGATATGATCTATGAAGACCAGGAAATCATAATTTTTGAGTTTTTATCCAATATTGAATTTCTTTAAAAACGCCTAACAAAATAACTACCAGCATTTGTGTTATTCATACTATGAAGAATTCTTTCATATGACTTTTATTTATATTCTATTTTTATTCCAAGTTATTATAAATACACCCTATTTCTAAAGTACCAAATAGTTTCTTGTCATCAGAACCTAAGCCACACTGCTCTCACTGGAACGGGATTCCCCTTATTATTTTTAAAATTAAACAAAATACAGATATTAAAGCTAAGCAAAAAAAATTTAAGAGTATTTAAGTGTCTGAAAATGTACATCCTTTCCTATTGTCACTTAACGTTGGACCACCAAAACAAATTGCATCAATCACTTTTACTTCTGTAGACTCTCTCTGCTCAAGATCTATATTGCAATCTCCTGTGAAGGCCTATCAGCCAAAGGAATTTATTTTTGAGGTTTTAAAATGAAAAACTGCGTCAATAATTCTCTTGCTAACATTTCACATTTTCAGTATTTCTGCCAGGTGGCAGTGAAAATGGTTTGAAAAGACAATATTTGGCTGATGGCACCGATGGGAGGTAGTAGGCAGAGAGGTGGCATTTTATCAATACAGCAAGGTAGCACAAATTGTGCTCTACATAAAATGGATTTTCTATGATGGCTCTCATTAAACATAAAGAAAAACCATGATTGGGTCCTCAAGATGACAATTCCAAACACACGTTTAAACCCAATGTGCATTAAAGAGGTTGAGTTATGAGCTCCAGAAGAATATGCTAGTGATAGAAATGACAATTCTCTTACATATTTTCTAAGAGAGAAGACTATAAAATACATATTTATATCCTTTCTAAAATCCAAAAGCGGTAGACAAATCTTTTGTAGTTGTGACATAATAACACAGTTGCTTAATCTGTTAAGTGATTATACCTTATTGTTACAGCTATCACAGGAAATGAGATGAAGAAAACAGTGGTACCATTCAGTGTTCGATGGATACTTCCAACTGAAAAACAATAGCTTTATAAGAAGAGTGGGTTGTGTGATTTCCAGAAAGTAGACCCAAATATAAAAAGGTCAATGGAATTAGAGGTCTGGTATTGTTCACTTGAAACGGCATTTTTGAGAATTTAAATACAATGCACACTAAATTAGATTTGATTTCTGCTAAATTATGCTTTGATACTGCATTCAGCCCAAGCTGGCTTCCATCAAAGTCAGGCTACAGCTCTGTTATGCTAATGCCCGCTGGTGGAAGTGAGTGGGTGTTATGGAAATCAGATGGCTGAACATGAGTAGGAGGCACAGGCCATGCGTGAGGTGGGCTTGGAGATGAGGGGCTGAGGAGACCTA